GTATAAAATAAATAATACATAAAGCGTTTGTTACTTTTTTAGACACTTCTACAGCCTTCAGTTGTTAAGGGAAACATAACCACAGAATATGTAAATGGCTATCCAGTTCAACAAATAAAAGAAATTCTAAATCAAGGCACGATCAAATCGGAAATTGAGAAGATACATCACATTAAAGTTGATATTGTTGACAAAATAAAACGCAACATCGATCATATCAAATGTAAGTTCACTCACCTTCCTTATTAAATTTTTATTACAGCTGAACCGGAACTTAATGTTTTTGGCACGTACAATAACACCTTAAATATTCGTCCTTGAAAAGTTTCTTGATTTTACTGGCTAATGAAAACCATCTAAACTTCAGTAATAATCAGTGTGCTGAAAAAATTTAACTCATTTTATATCCAAAGTTTGAGGTCTCGTAGTACATATACCGGGGGTAAAGCAAAAATCGACTTCGTTTTCCGTTATTCCCCAAAGTATGAAAATTATGATTATTCTATTGAAAACATTTTACATTGCTTAACAATAATTTTGTAAGGTAGTAATTGAAGATCCTGTGACATACACAATTAACATATTTGTAAAGCGGAAATATATTCTTGATATATTTATTTTTACTTGGAGTGTGTACAACACAAGTGTTAATAACACTTTCAATCCAGTTTAAAGTTTAATTTTTTATAACGAAAAAAATAGCGGAAGGTGAAGGGCAACTTTCACTTTACTACCCTGTACGCTATGAAAAATAAATGTTAAATTTATTATTACAGTTTTGGCAAATGACTATATGTATATAGAAAAAACCCAGGCCCTTCAGATATCAGTGTCAAATACCATAAGTGCTAAGACCATGGAATCAAAGGGTTACGTCTTAATTAACGTAAATGGAGAAGAATCTGGGGAACACTGTGGTCTATTAGAAAGCTGCAAATGCCCTACACAATACTCGATCGAGGTATCACCGGAACATTCAGTGGCCATTTTCCCTAATAAAGGCACACAGAGGATATTCACTTATAACGATGATGGTATGATCGTCCACTTCCTGACTAATAGTTTCAGCACAGATAGCAAATGCAGGTAAGAGAAAAGTTTGATAAAATCATGTTATTGAAAAACATGATAAAACCAATGAATTTCTTTTGCACTTTTTTGACACACCCCTGAATACAGAGTAGTGTCAAATATCTCCCAATATTTGCAGGGCGAATAGTATATAAAAAATAAGGGTATCATTTTTAAAACCTTTATCAAAAATGGATACTAAGAAGGGGTATAATTATTTACCATAGGTATATTTTTTGCAAATATCTTAATCATATTTTAAATTTAGACTTGGGATACTAATTTACGCTAATTATTCAAATTTCAGTAAATCGTGCATTTTTCATTAAATTTTGTGAACGTTTTAAGTTTTTTGTACCTTCATGTTCTAAGAAATAAAGACCAATCTAGACTAGTACTATCAGGAACGTTTGTTCCTTTGTTGACAAACTAGAGACGGCACTCCTTAAAACAGTAGGAGACAGGTATAAAGACTGGCACGTGTCGACAAGTCTGGACAGGCCACTTATAAACCTCTTAAGAGATAACGTATTACCTAACATTATGTCATTTTACTGTAAAGTATTTCACTTAAATTTACTTTCACGACGACTACAATTTTTCAGTAGGTATTACGTCAGCCTACGCAACAATATACATACATTCATATTGGTCCAAATTCATTGTTTCATTTTCTAGCTTTAAAACATCAAAAAATGTGTGACTTTTTTAGAACTGACAATGCTAAAGTTATAAATGAAGTATCAATGATGACTTGGAATACGCCAGCAAACGGAAATATCACAGGAAGTTTTCATCAATTTGATCAGTTCATCACTGGATATATCAGTGGGGCCGAATTTTTCACTTTACACGGACATACATATGCTATCATAGGAAGATACTACAATCCTACCACTAATAGCCATGATTTAGACTGTTATCTCATAAAATTCAGTCATGACAAGGTAAAATGTTTATATTTATCAACATGAAAACTATGACATACAAATTTTACTCATATCTAAAAACATCTGAAGTCATATAAGAATAGAAAAACATAGTAAATACATTACTTTATCTCTTACTTAATTGCACTTCATATCGTCATTAATTATCGTTGTTAATTATCTGTCTAGACCTAGAGTCTAGGCTCTAGGCTCTTGGTTATTAGATGCAAAAATATTAACAATAATCATAACCATAACAATCAATGGTTAGTGGTTACCTCCACAATCCACATGGCAGATGAATTTTAATATCGCTAGTAATTAGTATTATTTTCAGTAATGCATACTTTTCATCTTACCTTTATTTACAACAAAATATACGAAAAAAAACTATCACTGCACTAGACTGTTCACTATAACAGCTGGCATCTATTTTATTATTTGTAATTTGTATTACGTTACGTATCTATGTAGATTTTAATATTTTCTAGGTTATTATAGGTATTAAACTAAAATCATCGTCTTTTGTTTTTAGAGTACAGCAGAAATAATTCAAGAAATTGCTACTAGAGGAGCATGGTCCGTTTACCTATTTCATACTGCGCAAGGTGTTACGTTAATTATTGGAAATATAAAAACCACCAACATTCATCAAAGTGAAGAAGATACAAAAATATACAGATTTAACGAACACAAACAAAGGGTACGTTCATGGCAAATTTTATTTCACTTAGTTTACAAATTCTGCCTAGGGTTGCCAGATCTCCGGGTTTGCCCCGGAGTCTTCGGGTTTTGATGGTGCATCTCCGGGCTCCGGGTTAACATGTCATTTCTCAGGGTTTTTTTTTTTAGACAACGATTTCTTCGGAAACAACACATTGTCTCCCAGATTTCCTGATTGCATTTGCATAATCTTCTTTTTTTTGTAGGCATCAATTATACAAATGAGTCATATCTCCGGGTCTGTCAAGAAATAGATCTGGTAACGCTAATTCTGCCCCCTATTCTATTTAATAAAAAATGTGCATATCTACGTCTTATCTCGCGTACCTATGAAAGGAATAAATGTTTTAATTTTGTTTCAGTTTGATCTTTTAAAGATAGTACTTTCTTACGGCTGTTCAATGGCTACAGGAGTAGTACTGGGTACTGATAGTTTAATAGTACTGGCTCATCGATATGCACCTCTGCAAGTATTAAAGTATAACTCGAACGTTGATAATTATTACTTCTATCAGAGCTTCGAGTTAGAAGCACCAGTAGTGGGAATATCCGTCTTCTACACAGGGGGTAAAATTATTAACTATACTCCGCGATCGAAATTATAGAGAGTGACTAAGACATAATATAAAAACACTATTACCATAATGCGTATAAAATATAAAATGATTTTTATACGGTTCAATATTATTTATCTTTGTGCCGCTCGGTACGCACATCGATAGAATCTATAATCGTCTAGAGACCGAGTTACACTGAACGTCGATCTATATTCTATCTCTGTCTTTTGCACATGGTAGGGAATAGGGAAATGCTTTTTTAGTGGGTGTAAACGGACTTGATTTAACCCGTCCTGAGAAACGTCATAGCATAAGCGTAGACGAGGGGGGTCTAATTCCATGGTTATAATAAATTTATAAATTAAAAAAACACAATTGGGACGTTTTAAAATGCTATAATAATTAAAATGGATCAAAGTGCCTGTTATAGCAAACCATAAAAAAATATTAGATGTTATGTTTTATTATCTTTTTTCATTATTTTCTATATCTTGTTGCCTTTTACGCAGACACGCCAATGGATTTTCGTTCCCGGCACGCTTCATCCCCCTTTAGTACAAAAGCTAGCGATGAGTCACTCTCTATAATTTCGACCGCGGAGTATAGTAAGTAACGATTTTAGTTGTAAAACTATTTATTTCAGGATTTGGAATAAGTGATGCATATTTATGTACAGTAACAGCAAACGAGAATTACTTCATCTATTCTTTTCAATTTATAGAAGGATGGAAGTTAGAATCTAGTGGTGAATTGGAAGGGTTAAAGAATCTGATTCCTTTTGAATTAAACAAGCAATTGTATCTGTTTGCACCATCTTTGAATATTAGCTCACTTTTAACTATTGTTAAACATGGTTCTGTTTAATTTTTAATTACATTGTAAATACAATTATTCCAAAGTTTACTAGTTTAATAAACCAGGTATCCAATATATTTAGTAGGCTTAATAAGTAAGTCAACCACAAAATGACTAATACCTAAGTATAGGTATCTACCGAAGTATTGTAAATACCTAGCTAGGTATTTATATTTCATAATTATCATTGAACTACTGAAATTAGCTAGGTAATTCATAATTTACACACAGACAATCCCCTGATTTTCTAAATCTATTGGCTTTCCGTCAATTAATTGGTAGTTAATTGATTTATCAAATTTTTAAATAACGATCTAGTTAAAAATTTATAAGTTTTGTAAATAAATAAAAATTCCAATAATAGTAATCTGCCCATTTCAATCATGACCTTGAGTTGTACAATGGCAAAATGTAGGTATAAGCTTATGGCTAAATCTGATATTTACACTGCTGTATTAGAAATACCTAGGTAAGTATTGAGTGGTAATTTATGTGATTTGCGTTCTTAAGCATGTATTAATTAAACTTAAAGTTAAAACAAAAAATATGAACCACTATCCTCTCATTCTATTAAAAAAAGAGAGTAGTTACTTTTCCAAGAATTTCAAAATATAGTACTACGCGCTACGTTTTTCTGAGAATGAGAATATCTACAGCTACTCAGCTACACTCTTCGTTTCCAAAACAGCCTGTTGCACTTGTGTTGTGGACTTGTGGCGAGCTTAGTCGACAAATTCCGAGCAGATATATCTGCGCTTTCATTAGTCGATTTCTTGTGCCGTTACTTAAATTGACCAATCATCGTGAAAGCGTCCCCTTTAAACCAAGCTTGGCCGAACGGAGGCCATCATTTCCTCTCGGGTAGTTGAAGTGATCGCGTCATGTGAACAGTTCTGGTGTCCTCTTTTTTAAATAAGTTTTATTTATTTTTATCTGGAGTTTTATTATTTTGAACAACCATGGCTAATCGTAGACGCGGAACTTTCTCTTTACCCGAAGAACTGAAGACGAACGAACGTTTATCTACCAAAAAGGTAAAAAACTTGTCTCGACTTGCCTAGGATGTTTTTGTCAAGTGACATTTACACAGTTATGTAGTATCTTAAGTTTTCTGATTCTTGTGTTTTTATTCTAGGAGCTCGCACAAAGGAAAAGCCTTCCACCGTGTCCCTACGTTCCTGTCAAACCGCGAAAGGTTTCATTTAATCCGAATGAAAAACCAAAACCTCTATTTTTTACCAAATGTGGTAAGTAATATCAGTAATTGAGAGAGGTATACATTTTATAACATACCCCCACTTCGGTTCTTTAAAAATGTATCTTGAAATCTTTGACATAACCTATAGCAAATCAAGGGCAAAATAACCCTTTCTAAAAAAGGGTATATACAATAGATTTTATTTTAGTATTACATATAGTGATTGTTAAAATTCAAGAACTTTTTAATTTATTCTTTAATAGATTCTTCATTTTTTCAAATAATAAGGAGACATATTAAAAGCATATCCTATTGTGCAAATTTTCCTTTGTGGCTGTGTTAGATGAGAGACAAGACCAAGTCACCAAAGTTTAATTTAAAATATGACCAATTTACTTGCTGGATTGTGGTACAGTTGACTTTGACTGGTCTCACCATTCAGTTACCACAGCCTAAATATATGGTAGGTTCCTTAACATATTAATTCAATAAATTTTTTTATTTAGTGGAACTAAGTCCACTGTACGATGTGGATATGAAACAGTCGTCTTACATAGAGCAGTGCTTTTACGGGTTGGCTCCTATAGGTGAAGGCAGTTTTGGCAAAGTATATCGTACACGTAGTCGGGAAGATGATGAACTTTATGCTATTAAACGACAGAAACCTACCATAAGCTTAAAAGATATTTATGCTGAAGTACGTAACAATGAGAAGATCGAAATACATCCTAACTGTGCACAGTTTTATATGGCTTGGGAGGAAGCTGGCGAAGTTTTCCTCGTATTGGAGTATTGCGACATTAGTTTGGCTGATTACGCAAACGTAAACAGTGACATTCCAGAATCGTTGCTATGGGATGTTCTGTTTGACATTTGCCAAGGGTTGAATTACTTACACCAGAAACGTTTGATACACCTCGATGTAAAACCTGGGAACATTATGATGAGGAGGGGCACTTACAAGCTTTGCGACTTTGGCACTCTTGTTGATCTGAATATGGTAAGTCCATCGATATCATTGTTGCAACATTTCTATTTCCCACAAAAGCTAAAAAGAAAATTTCAGCCCCCAATAGTGCGGAAATCTACATTGTCAGATGGCGATGCCAAGTATTTGGCTTTAGAAGTTCTTGATGGAGTTTACCAGACAAGCTGTGATATCTTCGGGCTAGGTATTAGCCTTTTGGAACTAGCTGCTGATTTAGAGTTACCCAGTCATGGTCCTTTGTGGCAACAGTTAAGGCGTGACGTCCTACCTCTTAGGTTCTATGACAGTAAGTTATGTTCAAATGATAACCGATCAAAATATATTCTTAATAATTTCAGAAGTGTCGTTGGGTCTGAAGATTGTTATTGAGAGAATGCTCGATTCTAAGTATGCTAACAGACCCAGTGCTGCGAAGATCCTAAAATTTGCCACTCTAAAAATAATCGCTAAACGAGATAAGACCCAGCCACGTATCGATTATGCAGTAAGTAATATTTTATAAGATGTAATTACCAGGACATTACAGTGTTGCTTCAGGTATGGAAACATAAATTCTTAGACAACTTTATATAAAAGTAAAGTGCAAGTCCTTTCATTAAAGTTTTGTCATTAATTTTCTCTACATGATGCATTGCATTATTTGTTCTTCTCTTGGCTATAAAGTCGGAGAATAGATTTTTCTTCTGGAAACAAGTAAAAGTCAAGATTTAAGAAAACTGTTCCTGTAGCAACTCTAGCATTATTTTTTTTCCATTAATAATGAATAATTTATTATATTTTCTCAGAATCCCTATAGAGACCCTGTGACAGGTATTGTGGAAATACCTCTACAATTGGCAGCTAATACCATTAACAATAATAACAACTTTGAAAATATCATAGACACTCCTCGTTGTGCTAATAACATCCGTTGCCTTTCAGCCAATACCAATTGCACCTCTGTATGTGGGTAAGTTTCTTTTTAGTGCTCTTTGAAAGATATTAAAAATTAGATATCAAATAATTCACTTCTAAATATATTTTTAATTTATTTTATTATTGCTTATAATACAGGGTGTTTAAAACCTATGAGGAGTAAAAAGTGATTCTTCTCATAGAAGTAATAACAGAAAGAAGTTCCTACAAAATTTTTGATTAATAAATTTGAAATTCTTTTTTTTTAATATTTCATTTCAATTTTTTTTTCAAATTTGGTATATATATTGTAGGTAGCAAACTGAATCTATGTTACAATTCTAACACCCTAAAAGGCATAAGTAAAGGACATTGATTAGAAAATTAAGCATATTTTTTGTGGGTTTTCAAAAAATTTAACAACTAGATATCAAAGGTTGTAAAACAAGTCTGGATGAAACATTTAAAGCTTACAATTGCATAGAATAGATTTTTTTTTATTATGGCGAAGTATGTAGTGCTATGTGCGGTCACTGGAACTATGTACATAGGGCCTTCTGAGTGACCAACCAAAATTTCATCAATATACATGTATCTACCATGAAGTTATAACGTTTTGCGTGAAGCGAGTTTTTGATAGTTGTTGGAAACCCACATTAAATAGCATACAACAGTTAAATTCTGTTTTAAAGCAAGTAATACAGCTACAGAAATGTATCAACTGTTACAAACGGCGTACCGTGAGGAGCATATCACGTCCAACTATGTTCCTGTGGTTTGAAAGTATCATGATGGCCTAGACTGTGTACACGACGATGAGAAGATGGTGCTTCCCCACACAAGCCGAATACATGAAAATATCAAAGATGTGCGCTCTGCGCAGAAGTTTGATCGTCGATCAACCATTAGAGTGTTGGCAGTGTATGATTGATCAACGATCAGACTTTGGCGTGTGCGCTCTTCTTCTCATCGTCGTACATGCTGTATTGGCCATCACAAAACCTCCCGAACCACAGGAATACACTCGAACTTGATACACACTCCTCACCATACGTTGTTTGCAATACATTTCCGTGGCTGTTTTACCGGATTTAAAACGGAACTTGATTGCTCTACTCTATTCTATGTGCGTTTCCATGACAACTATCAAAAACTTGCTTCACACAAAGCATTGTAATTTTGTAGTAGATACACATATACTGAAAAATTTTGTTTGGTCACATGGAAGTCTTCCCACTACGTAGTTCCAGCACCCGCACATACTTTGCCACGGAACACTGAAACCTCTGAACCATAAACTTTCTCAGATAAGTGTCATCACTCTTACATGTTTTCTTAACTTTTATCATTCTCTTTAGTATTCATATTATGGTACTGTGAAATATTTTCAGTAAACGTGTTTATATCTACATTTGCAATCTTAATTCGGTTCTGTTATAAGGTGAGTGTCCGTGAACTGTAATAATAAGTACCAAATTTGAATAAAATCGCTTGACTAAAATATACATGAATTTTAAAAAGGGATCTTGAAGTTATGTAACTATTGATCATTCGAGAACACCCTGTATAACGAACTGGTTTTCTTTTTTAACTCGATTTGTTGACGTTTGAATTCCTATCCAGTAGAGTTCGCGATAGAGAACAAGGCCCAAGTCGCACCTTAGGTCGTAAGTCTCTATTCAAGTTGCTGGTAGACGACCCAGAGGCAACAGAAAATCATAGATTAGAGAACTCTGACAGCACCCTTGCGTATGACCTTGACTGTACCATGGATGTGGACACACCAGAAAAAGAAATGAACAGAACAGCCGAGTTGGATCGTGAAAATATAATGATAACATCTACTCCAAATTTCAAGCTGGGCCGTAAGATGCCCAAGTCCAAATTAATCTTCGAGTAACTGCTTTGTTTAGGCGAGTCTTTCTTATGATCTCTGGTCAGTGTGATACCAAAAGGAAGTACTTATCACGCTCGATCCCACTCTATGACTAGAAAGACTGTTATTATATAGTATATTGTTTTGTTTTTTATTTATTTATTTTTGATGTGTACTCGAATGTTGCATATTGAGAGTAATTGTCAGAAGTTTATTAACGGTTAAGAAAAGATTGTTTTTGTTGTTTTTTAAGCACATAGCAGTTTATTAGCAGAGGACTTTCGTTTGGAATCACTTAAACAGGGCTCTTATTTTTGTTTTATCCCTATATGTACATATATATTTTTGTAATTTTACTTAATATTTTGTTGTTCCAAACACAAAATGGAGAATGTTTTATAAAATTGTTTTACTGGATAAATGGTTTTTACAAAGCCTGTACTGTTGATTCCACGCGAGCCCTTGAAAGAATGTTGTTTACGGTAGTTATGATACCGTCCATTTTTATTTGCTTGTTTATCTCGGTATTATAAATATCGTGTGATTACTAAGGTGTTTTGCATTTGCAGGTAGTATCATGAATTATTTTATATGTAATTCTAAAAATAGCAGTTGACGTGTTGCCTGCATTTGCAACCAGCCTTTCAACTGCTGTGAGACTTGTTTATTTTTCGTTACTATGCAATATTAAGGTGCTGCAAGATGTTCCTTCTTTAACGTAACTTTTGTGATTGCAAACTTCGAATATTACCAAGTAATATTCAATGTTAAAGTTAAGTTCTACCAAGGCTTAGCCTTTTTCAATTATGTAGCTTTAAGAATTGCAATATCGTAGCTCCTTCGATTGGAACCACCGGCCCGGCATCTAACACTTTTATATAAACAGTATTCAATATCTGATGCATTTGTGTGTAACGTCATTATTTGTAAACAGTATTGTTCCATTTTTTATGACTGTAATAGGTTTGTTTGGGTGGTTTTGTTTTGTGATTTTTACTTTTAGTCATAGTATTATGTTAGCATTATTATAAAGATATATTTTATAACTAGTTCTGAAACTTTAATAAAACGTTCGTTCTTTATAACACCATCTTATAATTTCACATTTATACACAAAGTTCCTTCAAATTATAATAACTACAGAAATTATCCAGAAATATAGAGAGCGGTTTTACCAAATGTTTAAAAAAATATTTCCCATCTGTTAATTTTACTTTTACATACACTAATAGAAGTTCTTGGCTGCATTTTATCCAATTTTTAGGTATTTAATAATTTTCGCATTTGCTTGAAATATATGCATTCGAATTCGTATTTGTGAATATCAAAAATCTCGCATCTGGAGCAACCCTATTTGCACCCATATTAAAAAAAAATCAACGATATAGGAATGTTTTTAAGCCTGTCGTAACTTCCAAGAGGTTGTTCCTAGGGTCAAAAAACATTGAACTGGTTAGGCTCTAAAAGTCACTGGTTCAGGTATAAGCTGTTATCCAAATCTATCAACCAGAAGCGGTAATACTAAGAGACATTTGTTATGAATTTCAGAATTTTAGTGGCATTAAATAATTAGATAAGTATGTTTAATCAACAATAGATCAAAAAAAGTATATTTACTTTTATTTCCAATTTATTGTTTGGTAACTTTTTTGTATGAACATTCTCGAAAAAAAGTCATTGGCGGAAAATATCTTTTCTGACCTGTACCCTTATAATTTAAAAATAATTAATTTTTATGGAATAATTCTTTTTGCCCTGATGGTTACTCTTCGTTTCAATATATTTACATTTAATTAATTGTGATTAATAGCTTGTTTTTTTAATAATGTGGAAGCACCACAATTTTCTTTGATACCATTGTTAATTAAGTGCCCTTATTAAATTTCCAAAATACTTATGGTCCCATATTGTCTGTCATCAGCTTGTAACTCAATTGAGTGATTTTTGGCCTTTAAATTATTAGCCCAAGTTTGTCATATTGTTAATAGACATACTTTTTTAATACAACACTATCTAGAAAACTGATATGGTGGTTTAAGACACTTGTTTTGTTAAGGCATTTTGGTTTAAATTTTAAAATGATCTAAGGAACAATCTCGTGAAGGTACGGACCCGGAAAAAAGAAAAAAATTATTAACTAGAATTGGTATTACCGACTGCGCATGTTTGATGCTATTAATTGAATTTAAATTCCGGAATTCTCGATATCCCGATTATTATTGTCTATTTGATATATGTTCCTGGTACCTGGAATTTTGATAAATAGCTGATAATACTTACATAATATGATATTAACCCATTTATCTATTTTTCTTTAACTTTATCAGTATATATAAAAGAATAAAATATGTAATGCGCAAAAGCAAGAAATAAAGTCTGACAGCTAATGCTCCTATAAATTATGTTATGAATTAGAATGAATAGTTAACACCTTAAGTACCCATAGAATAGACGAGTGGAAATTCACCTTGAAAAAATTCGCATATTTTTCCAGTACGGTCAGTACAGTGATACACTGAACGAATAAAAGGCTTAAACAGATGAATTATATACAATTTTGTTGGTCTGTAGGTATATCACTAAATTCAAGGTGATAAGTTTTAAAAGAGAAGATAGGTACTGCCAGACATTTTTTATTCACAATAAAAATTAATCTCTATATCTGTAAACTGTCATATAACCACATTTGTTGCACATTAAAAAACGTTTTCTTTAATTGTTTAGTAAAAAAATAAAAGATGTGCTTAACTTTAATTACTTATATAGAAGAAATCGAGCAGTCGATACAAATTTTTTTATGTGCATAAAGTATAATAACCCGATTATAAATCTCTTGTAATCTGAAACTACTTAGATTATACGTTATACATAAAATTAGTCAATTGTAAATACAATTGTTTTTATGACATTTTTTCAGGTCAAAAAATTACAACGGTAATTAAATTTATTAAATTCCAACATTGAACCGAGGGACTATACGAAGACATCTTGTCCATTTTATGGGAATCTTCGTAGAAATATTATAGTCAAATAGAAGACTACTAGTATCCCATATATTTTAATGAAAAATACTGTAGTTTCGTTATCCTCTTCAGTTGGTGATGAAAGAAATATCATAAACAGACCTGAAATAGAAAACATTTCTGTGTAACGAGTATAAATTTTACTACAATAAAGCGTAGATTAGAGACTACTATAGATTTTTAATAAAACAGCAAGGTTTTGTAACTATTAAATATGCATGTATAGTTAATACTTACATATTTTAAATACAATCATCATCACAATGTCAAATATAGTAATTGCCATCTTGCTGGATATAAAAATTTTCTTATGCAATTAAATAATCACCTTTTATTTAAAGTTTAAATTTTAAAGGGAATGACTACTTTCAAATAATTACCTGAAAAACTTGTCAAAAGTTTGAAACTGATTTGTCTGAGGTTTGATATGTGACATAAATTAAACAAAATTAACTGTCCTAGTCAAATACTAGTTTTAAACCAATAAGAATGTCATTTGAAAGAAATATTGAATATTTTGTCAAATAATATGTTTCAGTTTTGGTAAACAAGTACATTTTGTTGTAACATTTAATAATTGCTTAGAATGCTTAGGTACAAGTAATTGTAATTTGTGAAATTATACATTTAAAATTCCATTGTAAACAAAGAGAATTATTTTAAAAAGACCAATTACAATATTTTTTAATGAAAAAAAATTATCCAAAAATTTATTTTTGGTTAACATAGTAATCAGATAGAATGAAACCAATATTATGCAAAACTTAGAATAAAATAATCTGGTTGCCTCTTCTTCACCATTCATAGGTGTCCAAAAAAAGACTTGTCAAACCTAAAATTAGAAAATAAGTTTAATTAAATTTAATGTTCACCGAGTTTATCTTAATGTATACTTACACAGTTTAATCAAGAACATTACTATAACATAGTAAGAGCCATTTTGTTTTTGTTTTTATGATTTTTTTAATTCCTTTCAGCTGTTAAAATTTTTCAAAATATTTAGACAAGTAAAATCTGGTAATAACTGCTGTCAAATGATTACTGGAGTTAACAGAATACTATTTTTAACTAACTGCTATTCATTTTTGTTAGTTGCCTTGTCTAGAACATATTTAAACAATAGTTTGAAATAGTACAAACATACGTAGGTATATACAAAAATATGAAGACTATTTTAGTGTGACGTCACATGTTTAGGCAACCCGCAACAAATTGTCATAGTTGAAATTGTACAGACCGAATCTATAGAAATGAACAACTTCAAATTTATTTATTTTTACAAGTATTTAAGTACAGCCAACATGTGTTTCGTAAAATAGATACACTAATGCGCATAAAACTTACAAAAAAACGATATAAAAGAATTCAAAAATTTTAAATGTAAATAAAGTAAAAATTTAACATTAGCCGTGTTAATCCTAATGCGCATACTCGGAAGGAATAGCCTCATAGGCAAGAAAGATGAGGTCGCTATGTTATGGCTGTCATCAATCATCATTAGCATATTTTCTCTTCATTTGTTTACACCATACAGTCGTGTATTGGTAATTGCCTATTTTTACAAATTGTTTTGTATGTATATTGACACTGTGAATAAATTTATTTAAATTAATTTTGTACTTATTACGTATCAAAAAACAAAAAAATATATTAGTAATTTTTTGCTAAACTGTTAATTGGAAAAGAAACATTAATATTCATTTTAAAGGCACTGTTGTATAGAGCGTGTTCCTTTATTACCTTATCTTTTGTAGGTTCGACGCCATGTTTTTGGTATAAAAGTTAAGTTGCACACAAAATTTTTCATTAAACTTGTTATGTCGGTATTTTGATATATCAATTTACAATAGATTATTAATGAAAATATTACCTCTATATTTTTTTAACTAACCAGTTATTGTTCTGCTTACATATTCATTCATACGAGAATAAACAATTATGAATTCGAAAATTTATATTCCCGCCAGTAAGAGTTATAAACCTTAGACTAATAAATAATACTCTGAGTTATAAACACACTCAAGACATACTTTAACATACTTTAGCGACCATGGAACACATCTGGAAATAACGATTTAACAATCGAAGGATGTGTATTCGAAACCATTTTTTTCATCGTTTTTTACATTTGATTAGTAAGAACGATTGCCCGGTTACTTGCATTTACCTATAGAATACAATGGTGGAATTTACATGCATTGTCCTGTTTATTGTGTTATTCTTCCTACCACTGAATTGTAGTTTGAAGCGTAAAATATTTAAATATAAATAGGTATAAAATGTCTTTAAATTAAGGAATGATCTAACAAGTAAATATCAACAAATAGAAGTAAAAAAAAATGTGTATTCCAAAAAACTCATGAAATATTATTATTTAATGTTTGTAAATGTAAATTATTATAGTATGGGATGCAAAGCCGTCTCAGAAAGAAATATTTTACATCACAACTCAAATCATAATGGAAACGAATTTTAAAGCATTTTATTTTAAATTTAAAAATGTATGTTACCAATTTCATTGTTTTTTTCTCTCTTTCCCTGTTCCTCTCATACTACATATAACATATAATCTACTACATATAATCCTTATATTCAAAATATAGCTCTTAACTTTTGAACAATACACTTGCAAAATAGCTGCTACTTTTATAATAAGAAAAGTATCTATTTTAATATTGTGTGCCCCCCATGTATTATTTTTCTAATGTGTTCAACACACGATTATAATGTACCTATTCCATGTCCAGTCATGTTAAATTCATTAGAATATAAAGTTTTAGGGTTGACTGCCCAATTTCAAATTTCCCGCATTTTCATAGGTCAAACGATTAGCTTTGCATCGTTTTTTTTGTACCTAAGCGAGAGTGGCAGGTGTAAGGTCATGAACCTTGTCCAATGTATTCTTATTTAAAATTCAATGAAAGGTCGAGTTGAATCGTGATATAGTTTACCCAGCTTAGCAATGTTCAACAGTGTTTAGTGAAAATATTACGGGAATGCAAAAAATCAATGAGAAATTAAAGTGGTAATATATCCCAAGTGTTTATAAAATAAATAATATAGCAACATGGATCTAGAGCAAAGCATTAAAACTGAAATGCTTAGCGACAAGAATAGAAATAACTCAAATATGTGCCAAACTGTTGAACTGTGTGTTGTTTGTGGAGACAGAGCTTCAGGAAGGCACTATGGGGCCATATCTTGCGAAGGCTGTAAAGGGTTTTTTAAAAGGTCCATACGTAAACAATTGGGATACCAATGCAGGGGAAGCAAAAATTGCGAGGTTACCAAACACCATAGAAATAGATGTCAATATTGTAGACTGCAAAAATGCCTAGCGTGTGGAATGAGAAGTGACTGTAAGTGTTTTAAATATTTTATAATTAAATAAATAGAAATATCGTGGCAACTGTTTTATTAATTAGAGAAATATCTTTTTAGCTGTTCAGCATGAGAGAAAGCCTATAATAGACAAAAAAGAATATACCAATAATACAGAAATTAAATTTAACCCCAATGCTATTAATGCCGTTAACAAAATATTTATTCGGAAAGACTTGAATACTGAAACAGGACTGATTCCTAATCCTTTTTGCCCCAGTGATCTCGGACTACAATTTTTAAATAAAAGAATAGGTAAGATTTACCTATTAAAAAATTTAAATTTAAATGTAGAGTAATTTCAGTACAAAAAAGTTTTTAAGTTGACTCCACACATTACATGATAGTTTATTATACAATAAAATTCTGTTAAATATAATGTATGACAACTAAAACATTAACACTTATTTTATATCATTGAAATTTCAGCTAACAGTACAGCATCAGAACTGCCCTTTCACCTTTCCCCCAGTCAGGCCAGCATTGAAGATGACATATCAATGGACAGCACAAACACGGGCACGGAACTGAGTGATGCATTAACCATGGCACGTGACAAACAAATGATATCTAAAGCATTGGATACAATGGCAAGAGTGCAGTGTCTGAATGGAACAGATTTGGCCACATTAACATCTGAAGAAAATTGTTTTGACTATGATGGACCAATTTTGCAAGATCAACATATTCCTTTCAATTTACAAATACCGGGACCAGTTCCTCCATATTTAAATATCCATTACATTTGTGAGAGTGGTTCACGATTGCTTTTTCTCTCCGTGCATTGGGCAAAGAATATTCCTGCTTTCCAGTACTTAAGGTATAAGTGCCTTTGAAACCTTATATGTAAATATTAATAGAAATATTATTTCAGTTCCGAAACACAAGTTTCTTTGCTTCGAGGCTGTTGGTCGGAACTCTTCACTCTCGGTTTAGCACAGTGTTCACAGTCATTATCTTTGTCTACAATACTTTCTGCGCTTATAAGTCATCTTCACGCTTCCATTGCTCAAGATAAAATGTCCGCGAATAAAGTGAAGCAAGTCACTGATCATATAGTAAAATTGCAGGACTATGTTACTAGCATGAATCGGTTGCATGTAAGTGAGCAAGAGTATGCTTACTTGAAGGCTATTACTTTATTTTCTGCTGACCAACCTGATATTTTATTAAGAAAGCAGATCGAAAAACTACAAGAGAAATCGTTCCAAGGACTGAGGAGTTATGTTAATAATTGCTTTCCGGATGATAACGACAGATTTCCAAAGTGAGTTTATAAAAATTAGATATAATCTATATTAACCATTATATATTTGAATGTGCAGAGAAATTCTCGAATTTGGCTGTTTTCTATATTTTGATTGTTACGAAATATCAAAAGTGTTGTTCCGTCTATTATACAATTGTTCATAGAATACTCGGATAAATTTTTTCTTAATGTTATATGTCGGAGAAATCCACTGAAATTTATTAATAAATTACTGAATTATGCCCGGCCAAACAAGACTTTTTTGATTTTTTTCAATTTTTTACTTTCATTTCGAAAAATATAACATATAGAAATTTGTGTTTGAGTGGAGCATTTTCTATATATCAATCACCTTAGCCAGAATTTGTTTGCATTAAAATACAAAGCTCAAAAAAATATGGGACACAGATATTCTAACTTAAGGTGGCCACCATGTATAGAATCATTTGATTGATTTATTGATTAATTAAATGATAACCATACTTCAATTGATATTGTTTTAATATATTTACTCAAATATATGGGGTGTTCCAGGAATAAGTGCCACAATTTTAACCACATATTAACTCGTCAGAACCAAGTTTAACATTTTTTTTTTGAAAACACATTTGTGTTCTGAATTTTGTACGCCATAAAATAACACTGCCAAACTGTCCGTGGATTAAAAACATGACTAAGTAGGTACTATATGTAAATATTTTCAATATTTTAAGTATGTATGGACCGATTGCTTTGAAAATTTGAGGTTTTAACATCAGACAAAATTTAAATAAGTGCATTGAGAATCTTTTATGATTAATAATTTGTGAAGATATGCATAATAAAATTTTCAGTTACTGTAATGTTTGTCTTAATTCAGGCTTGGTATCTTAAGACTTGCTAATTTTCTAATTTAATTCCCGCCGAATCTCAAAAACTTAAAATGTCCGTATCTCAAAAACTGAGTTTATCGATTTGTAACAAGTTTACCTTTTTCATTTGTAATTGAATGTAGTGCAATAATTTCTAGTTAAAAAATTAAAAATTGTAAAATACAAAAAGTTAGAAATATTTTTACAGTGATAGGACAGTATAACTAGCGCCCCCTAGATGTGACCCCAATACTGTTTGCATATTCGTATTTGCCACCACAAAAAACGTAAAATTACAAATTTTCAAAACAATCGGTCTATACATACTTAAACTATAGCAAAAATTCAAAAATATTTCTTCAACACCCTGTAGAACGAAAAGGAGCAACAATTGATTAAGGCATGTTTGGCTCAATTTCAATATTTTGACGTTAACAATCTGTCATTAAGCTGTGTACCATTATTAATGACTCACCCTGTATATTATTAGTTTTTATATTTTTACGATATTTTAAGGTAATTCAAAGAAACTCTATTTTTCTAAGATCCCATCAAATGAAGACAATGTTTTTGTATACTGAAAATCTAGGTATGCAAAAGACATCTAACCTGTTAGACAAGATTTGGAACTAATGATATTGCAGGATTGTTTCCCCTATATACTAAAAATAAATAATGAATTAATTTATAAATATTATTGTGCATTTTTTGGTTTATTTTTAAATCATCAATAAGTGTCTACTTGTGGTGCAGTGGTAACAAAAATTTTAAATTAAATTAAATTATCTTAAACACTAAGGTTTTTCGAAGAATTTATGAGGCCAAAATTATTTCGTTTGATGCGTTAAATGCATGGTTAAAATTTTTGTATTTGTTTCTGGGGCACCTGTATATGTTATATACAGTGTAGGAAAGTACCGATGGTCTATCAGAAGTTACGTGAGAGCAATAAAGTAAGCCATAGAAATCCATGTGATAGACAAGGATGGCTATAATGAAGGCCTCTAATAGTCAACGCCCATTTCGCCCTTCCACAAATAAGATCCACTTCTTATTTGTGGAAGGGCGTAATGGGCGTTGACTATTAGAGGCCTTCATTATAGCCATCCTTGTCTATCACATGGATTTCTATGGCTTACTTTATCGCTCTCACGTAACTTCTGATAGACCATCGGTACTTTCCTACACTGTATATTATTTTATTATACTGTATTTAAAAAAAAATTGTAATTTTGAGTGAACTGATTTGATGAAATATCCAGGTTTTTGTTCAAAATAAGTTAAATAAAACTGAACTATTTTTCTAGATTATTATTACGTCTTCCACCTCTCAGAGCCCTCGAGCCAAATATATTGGAAGAATTATTTTTTGCTGGTTTGATAGGGCAAGTTCAAATAGACAGTGTCATCCCCTACATTTTGAGAATGGGGAACAGTATCTCCAACCCAGGCAACAACAGACAAGTAAAAAGTGAACACTTGGAAGAGTTTATGTGCAAATAACCTCTTTTGTGGTGTCCTCTAAAGGAACAACCATTGTTTGTAATAATTTATATATCGTGATTTATTTATGTTCTTTAGATTATTTATATAAATGTAACTATAAATTTGTGTTATGTAATTTTTGTACATATTTGGAATATTTGACTTTTTTTACATTTATTTGTGGAACAAAGCAATAATCTTTGGTGTCTGTGCAATAGTTTATTTAAAAATGTATTTATAACAATTAACTACAGAACTTTGCACCTAGAAAATGATTTTTAAATATTTTTTAAATTCTTACCAAAGATTATGTGTAAAGTGCTTAATTTTACATGTATATTTGTGTTTATTCTATATTTAAAAGACACTACTGAGGTTTTGGAAACAGTAAAAATTACTAAAATTTTTTCAAAATCACAACAAATGTTTCTAATGTCTCTGGTGAAGTCTTCAGGGGGAACATCCAAGTAGAAAGCGGAAAAAGCAAAAAACTTTGATTTTATCCAGGTTTGTTTTATTCGAAAGTATATAAGTTGGGTATGCTGACCAATTTCCTTGCTCTGCGGTTTCCCAGTTTATATGCAGTCAGTTGATCTGAAACGAAAATTTCAAAAAAATTCTCAAAATATAATGTATCCCTTCGCAATGTAGGATTAAAAAAATTAAACGAAATGGCGGCCTTAATTTAGACTTTTTCGACTTGATAAAAAAAAATAATTAAATGGAAAAAAGAACCCTACGTTTCGAAGAAAACCTCTCCGAAAATATTGTGTCAATTTTTGGAAGCAAGGGGTCAGGCCGTTTTCCAAATATTTTGGAAACTGTCTTTGAATAGCGAGATAATCGCGTTTGAAATTTGGTAAAGAATTGGACGTGCTTGGGAACTTGGAGTTACATAATATATAATATATTGAGAAAACCCCTTTTTTACTTTACCGTTAATCTGCGATTTCTGGACTAAAGAGTAGGCCCTCCGTAGCACTGGCAGCATCTTTTGCAGTGACCTGTGACTGCCTTCGCTGAATCCTTTCACGAGTCGCATTGTAAATTTTAATTTCGGCAGTATGCACGCATTCCGCAATCTGATCAGCATTTCTTCCTAACTTGATGCCTAATGCATTCCAGTAAATTGTCCAAAAGATGACCAAAAAAAATTGAAAATAACAATTCTTTTCAACTCGGATGTTCCCCCTTAATAAGCATTAAAGACGTTTTATTTTGTCAGTCAAAGTTTAACCAAGAAGAGGAAAGGTATGAAATATTTTTCTAATTACCATTTTTAATGATATTTGGAAGAAAATTAAGAGAATCAAATACAAATTATTTAGTTAGTTATAGAAATCAATTAAATAACTTGATTGGAATGGTCAATTATTTGATTCTGAATTACATAATTTTTTATCATTATGTAAAAATATATTTCTTAACAATTGTGACATCAGATGCATTAATTAAAGTCATATTTGATGATGAAATTTGTTGGATCTTACCAGTTACTATTATGTAAAAATATTTGTCTTAACAATTGTGGTAACAGATCAGTTAAAGACATATTTGATATATAAATTAATTGGCAACAAAAATTAATCAAAGCATTTGATTATTTAAATTTGTCGATTTATACTAAATAATAACACGTCAGTTAATATAAAAGCTGTTTTTTTAGATTCTTAATTTTCTTTCCAAATATGTTTATTGTTTATGTAACAAATTATTTCATACTTTTTTAGTCATGTTATAAATTGAATAAACTGGGAAGGATATTTGATCAGTGTTTAGCAAATCAATATCAAGGTGAAATTTGAAAAATTACAGATAATGTTTAGCGAATCGTAAAATAGGTTGAACCAGTGATGCATACCAGGCCTTGTTAGTGGTGCCAAATTTACATTTCTAAAAACACTGGTTAGATTCAAAATGAACTTGTGACCCAGTTAAAAGTTTCTTACTAAATGCTAGCCTGTATTACTTAATTTAAGAGCGACTTGATGTATTTATTTGGTGCAATGCACATTTATTATAATGTGATAAACTGAAGGTAACGTGCCTTTAAAAATTCAATATACTTTTCGACAATATTGTATACTACTGTACAAAAAATATAAGTATTTTTTCTGATCACAATAAAAATAGTATTTTCTACAGATAATTGAATTTAATTTGGCTCCCCACTATCAGATAAGCTTATCTAAGGTCATACCTGCTCAGTAAGTTCCCACCTTCCATATCATGCATAGCTGATTCCTTACTAGTATTTTCATTAAAATATTTGTTTCCAATACAATAAAGCCCAAAAGTTGTAAAAATGCGTTACTTTTTAACATATACTGCTAGTGTACTTTCCACTTCTGTTATTTCTATTTTTGGTAAGTTTTTATAATAAAAAATTAATAATAGGTGTGTTGATAAAGCATGTGACCTGTGTATGTACTACTTCATTTTTATTTTTCCTAGTTATTTACTATCTACTTACTGGAAAAGGAGAACAAATTAGCCCAGCATGGTAAGTATAATTTATAATTAAAATTCATTGACCCACTTTCCAAAAATGTAAAACTGGTCACTGTGTAATCATTAAAATCAACTTTAATCTTCTTAAACTCTTAAACATTTTTTAAGGCATTTATTGCACATCGAAAATAAAATAAAATAATTTTATTTTTAATTTGAAAAAGATTTTTGGGAAATAATAAAAATACATTTTATTTATGAAAATATTGTCTTAGCAATTTACAAATCAATTGTTGGTTAATTTATGTATTTTTAAGTGTTGGTTAATTTATTTACCTCTTTTAGGTTCCTAAACAATGTTACTCCATATATGTGGGCATCAATCGGAATCGGTTTATCCGTTGCATTATCAGTGGTAGGAGCTGCAGTGTAAGTTTTTTTATTCAAGAGTAGGTTCTGATTATCAAAAAATTCAAATTTGCCACCATTTCTGGAGTTAATTGAAAATGGTTGCGTTCACAATTCAGTCCAATTTAACAACTCTTTTACGGGTCTTCAAATTGTATTGACGATATATGCTTTTCACATTGCAGAGGTATTCACGCAACTGGTGTGAGCATAGTAGGAGCAGGTGTAAAGGCCCCCAGAATTAAAACCAAGAACTTGATTTCCATCATCTTTTGTGAAGCTGTGGCAATTTACGGGCTTATCATGGCTATAGTGCTATCCAGCAATTTCAGGGTAAGATATGTAACTCCCTTAAATTAGTATTACAAATTTATTTTTTAAGGAATACAAACTGGAAGAGTACCTCGTTAGTGAAGTTATTGCTTCAAGAAATCATGCTGGAGCCCACATCATTTTTGGTGCAGGTGTTACGGTGGGTTTTGTGAACCTATTTTGCGGAGTTTGTGTTGGAATAATTGGTTCTGGTGCCGCTCTAACAGATGCTGCAAACGGTGCGCTTTTTGTCAAGATTTTGATTATTGAAATTTTTGCCAGTGCTATTGGTCTGTTTGGTCTCATTGTAGGAGTTTTTTTGGTGAGTGAGAAATCATATTAATTTTGGTTCAGTTCTTAAATTCGGTTTGAATCTTATACGATTTTCTTGCAAATCTGAACGTGCTACTTGAATGTTTTCAAATGTAATTTAAATTTTTTATTATTTTCAGACTTCAAAAGGAAATATGGGCTAAAAAGCCAACGTTTTCAAATTATCTTTTGGCTCTACTTGTAGTTTCTGTCGTAAATATTTTGTAAATATTTTCTTTCAATCTAATCCTGTAAAAAGTATTATATTTTTATCATGTAGGTATATAGGTTTGTAAAATGTAATTTCTTTTCCAAATGGGAATGTTTAATATTTATAATTATTAAATAGAGTACTGTTTTACCAGCAAAGACTTTTATTTGTCATCTTTTAAACTGAGATGACAACACTTTGGTCAAATGAGCAAAACGTAAACACTCATTGCCATTGTCTTTTACGGAGAATTCTCATAAGTTTATCTCTCTCTGATCTGTTTACGAATGCAAAACCACATTAGGTGAAAATAGATAGAAAACAGCAACGAAGAACCCACCCTCTCTATTACATTTCACGTGACAAGTTGTCACTAATTTGTAGAGAATTAATTGTGTACTGTTAATTTTTGCCTAAATTTGCAATATGAGGGCAGTTTTAGGATACACTTTTCTCGGAACAGCCACAGCCACAATTACAGTGTTAAGTAAGTTATTCTGCATTCATTTCACAAAGATCAGTAATAAACATGCTCATTTTTAGGTTTGTACCATGTCTTTACTGGAAAAGGGGAAAGAATAAGTATAAGATGGTAAATTTATTTTATTTTTATCGAGGTACATTTTATAAAAAACGTATTTACAGGTATCTTGAAAAATCTTCCCCCTATTTGTGGGCATCATTAGGAGTGGCATTGTCTGTGGCTCTATCGATAGTAGGAGCTGCTGCGTAAGTAAATAAGCTTTTGCACTACAGCTGTGTGCTTATTTTATTAATTTTTAGAGGTATTCACACGACAGGGGTTAGTATAATTGGAGGAGGCGTGAAAGCACCCCGTATTAAAACAAAAAATCTGATTTCCGTTATTTTCTGTGAGGCCGTTGCTATTTATGGCCTAATCACTGCAATTGTCCTCTCAGGAAATTTGGAAGTAAGTACGTTTGATGCAAACAAGTTAAAAGTTAATAACTCTACCTTTGCAGGAATTTACAGGAGATATTGTTTCAAAAAGTGATTTCCTTATAGGGAAAAACTGGGCAGCGGGTTATTTAATGTTTGGAGCAGGCCTAACAGTTGGACTAGTAAACTTATTTTGTGGGATGTGTGTTGGAATTGTCGGATCAGGAGCAGCATTGGCAGATGCTGCAAATTCTGCACTATTTGTGAAAATTCTCATTGTTGAAATTTTCGGAAGTGCTATTGGACTCTTTGGATTAATCGTTGGAATATTTATTGTACGTCCAGATTTTATGAGAAATCCTATTTCTAATATATGTTTTTTTTTTAGATTTCAAAGGTTCAAATGGGTGACAAGATTCACTAACCAGTATTCACATTAATAATGCACCTGTAAATAGTTTACCATGACATTTAAGATCTTCTTTGTAAATATATATTTACCTTTGTATCGAAAGAATAAACATTTCTAGCTGATCTTAAAGCAAATATAGATTTTTTCTGATGTAATGATTACTTTGTTATTAAATATAGTACTGTATCCTAAACAATGTTTTCTTTCTTTTTTTTGAATTTATAATAAATAATATAATTAAGGTATTAGTTAAGTACGTTTTAAAAAAATTTTTGGGAGTCAAAGAAAATTAAGAATTAAATAATCGTACATTAGTATTAAGTGTGCTATATATTTAAAAAAATAAACAAAATAGGGAGCACAGTTCGCAGAAGGTTTTAAACATTCTATATTATATGTCATTTATTTAAATTCCTTGTATTCTGTACGTACTTTTAAAAATTCACGCCAATCGATTGGGTAAGACCGACCAAAGCAGGGGGTCAAATATTTTCGTTCACCGTGTATAAAAGCTCCCCCTAAATCATTCCTGGTGGGCGAACTTTTATGTTGGCACTGTTGGCAGCCTTTAGTCACTACTGTCAAATCGCAACATTCTAAAAATGTCATCCCGAATAAAGACCTAATAATAATGTGAAAATCAAGTGTTTTAATAAAATGGCAACACAAAAGCCTGGAGAATGGGCTAATACTTTAATTGTACGGTTTGAGGAACAGGTCAGTAATCCTTACAACATTTAACTTATGAATAGTTTCAACTCTAACTGCCCACCTTCTTTCTAATCAATATTTACATGATAGCCAATCATTCATTACTAAGAATTTCAAATAAACTCTTCTATTTTTTCATTTTAGTTGCCTTGTCGAATTGGTCCTCAAACAACTCATTCGAGTATTAATGAGGAACAAAATAAAAACTGTATAATACAAATATCCAGGTACCGTTTTGCCCTTGTCCTAGATGGTTTTGTCAAAGTCCTTAAACGAATACACGAGCTTGTAAGTACTTTCAATGATTAAATGTTACTACTTTGGAATATTCTCTTCTTAAGTTTTTATATAAACGAGTAGATTTCAGTTTTCAAAGTAATTTCGATATTAGATTATGTAGGTATTTCCTGGTTTTACCTTTCATATTGCAAACTTATTAGTACTATATAATTATAAATATAATTGAATTATATTTATTTTCTTTAGTACCAAACGGGTACATGCAGCGCTTCTCGGCAGCATGGGCCAGAGTTAGAGAAGAACTACTACGACAGTCTCCTAATAGTTTTAGAAACTCTAGAAAAGTGCTTCAGTATCCAACCCAAAGACTCAATAACACTGACAATGGAAGAAAATCAAAATTTAAAATGTTTACTGAAGGAAATTTGCACTTTTTTAGGTGGAAAAGGTGAATTTAACATCTTACGTGTAATCAATTTTCTTTTATATTTTGTGTTTTAGATATGCCCAATGATAATCCAAATGTACATGCCATAAGATTATTAGCAAGTAAAGTACTGTTTGCTTTGAGTGTTAATTTTTTTAACGCAGTTTTCAACCGTATCTCTTCAAAGTTGCAAGAACTAGCATCCTGTCCTGATGAAAATCCCGATTTTAGTGACATTGAACTAATACAGCATATTAACGTCGACGTTGGAAGATTGACCCGTCTTTTTTTGGAAGCCATATCAAAATTTAGATTATTGAAAAAGTCTGCTCATTTAGTTTTGGTGAATTCTTTAGAAAAAGCGATTTGGAACTGGATGGACACATACCCCTATGAGTTTGCTGAACTTCAAAAAAATCCCAATGAGGAGATGTCAAAGTGTGCTGAACAGCTTTTCGATATCCTCGATGCTTTCGGAGATAACAAAAAAGGAAGATCTGCTGTATGGTCTCTGCAAATGATGTTACTAATTTTAGCTCCTGTAAGAACTCAAATGATTTCTAAATTAGTGAATTAATTGTAATTTTTTAGAATGTACTTGAGGAAATTGTAAATGCCGATTCTGGAGCACCTTGTTCGCCGCGACACAGTAAAAAGAAAATTTTTATCGACAACATCAAGAGATGTCTAGGCCAACATGGCAACAGCAAACAACTTACTGAAGCTGCTGCAGTGACTTGTGTGAAACTTTGCAAAGCATCCACATATATAAATATCTTAGACTCCAACAATGTAGCCTTCGTTTTGGTTCAAAGCATCATTAATGACTTGAAGGTAAATTTACCAATATTTTTATGCTTATGGTGTATATTATGTAAATATTTTTATTTCAGAGTTTATTATTCAATCCAACGAAGCCGTTCTCTCGAGGCCAGAATTATTTATACCATGACATGGATCTAATGATAGACTGCTTTGTTTCAGTGTTTCGGATCAAACCTCACAACAACGAGGCTCTTAAAGTTTGTTTAAATTTAAACTCGCCCTCGAGCTATCATTTTGTACTAGTTCGTTCACTGTACAAAATTGTTACACAACCTCGATTGCATTGGTGGCCACAGATAGATTTAGTATACAATAAATCATCGGAGTTACGTGCTATGTTCACAGATACTTTAAATAAAGTTTCACAGGGCTACATCGCACATACGCCTCTGCGGATGATACAAATTACCTTAAAAGGCAAAGATTGTCAGGGCAAGTTTAAAGATCGTGCAGAGGAAGTTCCTGGATATCGAAATCTTTTGTTGTATATGGTACGGTTAGTGCACGCTGATCCAATGCTTATGTTAAACAATCAAGGGAAAGCGGGTCACGAAATCCAAAGCTCAACGTTAGAACTTATAAATGGATTGGTTTCACTAGTTCATCAGCCTACGATGCCTGAAGTAGCACAAGAAGCAATGGAGGCGTTACTGGTTTTGCATCATCCTGAGAAAATCGAGATGTGGAATCCGGAAGCACCGATAAATACATTTTGGGATGTCAGTTCACAAGTTATGTTCTCTATATCACAAAAACTCATTCAACACCAAATAATGAATTACACAGACATACTGAAGTGGCTTCGAGAAATTTTGATATGCAGAAATGCCTTTTTATCAAAACACAAAGAATACGCTAACCTGGGCAGTTCAATAGCTATTTGCAAACAAGCGCATATAAAACTTGAAGTAATACCTTTCTTATGAAATGTATCCTTATAATGATAACCCTTATTTTCTAGGTGGTGTTTTTTATGTACTTGTGGAGTATAGACATGGATGCTGTCTTAGTAGCGATGAGCTGTTTTGCTTTGCTTTGTCAGGAAGCAGAAATTCGTTGTGGATCCGATGAAGTAACTGTCACATACCTAGTTCCGAATTACCATGTTTACCAGGAACTAGCGCAAGCCTCAACAGTGCTGACAACAGGTAAATGTAAATTGTATGAAATTTTCAATGCAGTCATTTATTTTTGGTCCATGCAGCCACTGGGGAAACTAGGCTGTGTTTCCCTGACCATCTTAATGGTAAGTTCCTAAAAAATATAAATCATATTACACATTCTCATTACGAAAGTGTTTTTATTATAATTATTATTCTTAGGTCGAGCTGCGCTTCAAAAACGGATCATGGCGTTATTGCGGAAAATAGAGCACTGCGTGAATGGTGTTCAACCGGCTTGGGAAGAAACGTTCATGAATTGGAATGGTATGTGCAAAAATTTATCTTCGTACCCGAAAGCTAAGACTGAGGATGGACAAATGGAACCCTTTCATCGTTCTATGGGAAAACGGAGAGCTTCCCATCAAAATTCGGAACATGAGTTGGAGGTAACATGTTAATTTTTTGGTTTCCTGCTCCATCTTTTATGTTTATATATTTTTTTGATAAGCAGGAACAGATAAATGAATGGGCAAATATGACTGGTTTTCTCTGCGCATTGGGTGGCGTTTGCTTACAAAGAAAGTCACCATCACGACCAACTCTGTCAACCAGTGCCCACTCAAGTTTATCTTCAATGACAATAAGTTCAATCGGTAGTGGAAGTTTGGGTGAACAGAGCATGAGTAGTAGGAAATCGAATACATTGCAGAGCCAACAGAACCCTCAAGATCAACGACAATATTGTCCAGTAACATCGTAAGTTTCTCTGTAGCACATTATATATTTTGTAAACTGCTTATATTTTCCAGTTTTGTTGATTTGTTGCTACGTTTGTTGGTTTGCAACAATGAAAAATTTGGAGCCCAAATTCAGAAACATGTGAAGGAGTTGGTAGGCCACGAAATGTCATCGGCTTTATATCCTATTTTGTTCGAACAAATAAAATCGATTGTTGACAAATTTTTTGACCAGCAAGGACAAGTCGTTGTAAATGAGGTCAACACACAGTTCATCGAACACATCATTTTCATAATGAAAAACATATTAGACTGCACGAAGAATGACCAACCTTCTGAACATTTAGGAGTTACCAGCATAGAGGGAATGATGTTGGCTATTGTTAGATATGTAAGACATTTAGATATGACAGTTCATGCCATCCACATAAAAACAAAACTTTGCCAGCTGGTCGAAGCGATGATGAATCGCAGAGATGACTTAGCATTTCGGCAAGAAATGAAATTCAGGAATAAACTGGTAGAATATCTAACAGACTGGGTCATGGGCACATCACACCAAATAGCTCCACCAAGTTCTGGTGATGTCACAATGATTACAAGGGATTTAGACCAAGCTTGTATGGAAGCCGTTGCAGCTTTGCTGCGTGGACTGCCTTTACAACCAGAAGAATCAGATAGAGGCGACTTGATGGAAGCTAAAAGTCAGTTGTTCCTGAAGTATTTCACCCTTTTTATGAATTTGTTGAATGATTGTTCTGATGCCACAGAAGTGGAGAAGGATATCAGTAAACAGAAGGTTTATGCTGGAAAATTGAACACATTACGAAATGCGACAATACAAGCCATGTCGAATTTACTGTCTGCTAATATTGACAGTGGCCTCATGCATTCTATTGGTAAGAAATAATTTTTGATTACTTTTATTAACTTCCGAGAACTTTGTTTTTTTTTTTTTGTAGATCTGGGGTACAATAAGGACTTGCAAACCAGAGCAGCATTTATGGAAGTTCTTACTAAAATCCTGCAGCAGGGTACAGAGTTTGATACATTAGCAGAAACTGTTTTAGCGGACAGATTCGAACAATTGGTGCAACTTGTTACTATGATCAGTGACAAAGGCGAGCTGCCAATAGCAGTGGCGCTTGCCAATGTGGTCACTACTTCACAAATGGACGAATTAGCTAGAGTTTTTGTGACGCTATTTGATGCGAAACACTTGTTATCCCCACTCCTTTGGAACATGTTTTACCGAGAAGTAGAAGTTTCAGACTGTATGCAAACATTGTTCCGTGGCAATTCCCTTGGAAGTAAAATAATGGCATTTTGCTTTAAAATATATGGTGCGAGTTACTTGCAAACCCTCTTGGAACCATTGATAAGACCTTTACTGGATGATCCATGTTGCAGTTTTGAAGTAGACCCGGCTAGATTGGAACCAAACGAGGACATAGAAGAAAACAGGCAAAACCTGATAGCATTGACACAGAAGGTATTCGATGCTATTGTAAGCTCAGCCGATAAATTTCCGCCACAGTTAAGGTCAATGTGTCACTGCTTGTACCAAGTCTTAAGCAAACGTTTTCCACAGTTTCCTCAAAATAACATAGGAGCTGTTGGAACGGTGATATTTCTACGCTTTATAAACCCAGCAATCGTCTCACCTCAAGAAATGGGCATCGTGTGCAAACAAGTCCCTACCTCTATAAAACGTGGTTTAATGTTGATGTCGAAAATATTACAAAATATCGCTAATCACGTCGAGTTCAGCAAAGAGCAACATATGTTGCCATTCAATGATTTTCTACGTGCACATTTCGAAATTGGTAGAAGATTTTTTATTCAGATCGCGTCAGATTGTGAGACGGTAGATCAAACGTCTCATTCAATGTCATTTATTTCGGATGCTAATGTTTTGGCATTACATCGTTTGCTTTGGAACCACCAAGAAAAAATTGGCGATTACCTCTCGAGCAGTAGGGATCATAAAGCTGTTGGTAGGAGGCCATTCGATAAAATGGCTACGTTACTAGCATATCTGGGTCCACCGGAACATAAACCAGTCGATTCTCAGTTAGTGTTATTTCATTTAAAAGGTAATGTTTAGCTTTAATATATTTTTTTTTTTAGTATGTTGTTTTCATCATACGCAAGGTGGAGTTCTATAGACATGTCCTCGACAAACTTTGAGGAGATCATGGTCAAACATAACATGCATGAAAAAGAAGAGTTTAAATCTATAAAATCGTTGAATATTTTCTACCAAGCTGGTACCAGCAAAACTGGGTTTCCGGTTTTCTACTATATTGCCAGAAGATACAAGTATGTCCGTGCACTGTTTAAATTGTTTTTGTACAGTTTCTTCTTTTAGAATTGGTGAAACAAATGGAGATCTTCTTATTTACCATGTTATTTTAACTTTGAAGCCTTTTTGCCACTCCCCGTTCGAGTTAGTTGTGGACTTCACTCATACTTGTTCTGATAACAGATTCCGGACAGAATTTCTTCAGAAGTGGTTCTACGTTTTACCTGAAGTTGCTTATGACAATATCCACGCAGCATACGTTTACAACTGTAACAGTTGGGTTCGCGAATACACCAAATTTCACGATAGAATCTTGGCCCCTTTAAAGGTTAGATAAAGTTAAATGTGGCATTTAAGTTTCTATTTACGGTTTGTTTTAGGGTAATCGCAAGTTGATATTCATCGATATGCCAAATAAGCTGAACGACTACATAGACCCAGAGCAGCAGAAATTGCCTGGTGCTACTCTAAGCTTAGACGAAGATTTGAAAGTGTTTAGTAACGCTTTGAAATTGTCACACAAAGACACCAAAGTTGCAATAAAGGTAGGGCCTACTGCGATCCAGATAACTTCGTCTGAAAAGACCAAAGTGTTGTCGCATTCAGTGCTGTTGAATGACGTTTATTACGCCTCCGAAATAGAGGAAGTGTGTTTAGTGGATGATAATCAGTTTACATTGACTATAGCAAATGAAAGTGGACCCCTTAGTTTTATACATAATGACTGTGATAGTATCGTGCAGGCGATTATACATATTAGGAATCGTTGGGAACTTAGTCAACCTGTACGTATGCAAATATATATTTGTAAACGTTTCCTAAAATATTTTTTTTTTAGGAATCCGTGACAGTTCATCAAAAAATTCGACCAAAAGACGTTCCTGGTACGTTATTGAATATGGCGTTATTAAATTTAGGTTCTTCGGATCCCAATTTACGTACAGCGGCGTATAATCAGCTCTGCGCTCTAACTGCCACGTTCGACCTCAAAATTGAAGGTCAGTTATTAGAAACTCAAGGACTTTGTATTCCCTCCAACAACACCATATTCATTAAGTCTGTGTCGGAAAAACTAGCAACGAATGAACCCCACTTAACTTTAGAATTCCTAGAAGAGTGTATCCAAGGCTTTAGGGTCTCTAGTATTGAGTTGAAGCACTTATGTTTAGAGTACATGACACCATGGCTACCAAATCTCGTAAGGTAAGTTATTCTTATAATGTGTTCATTTAGTGGCAACTTCTATTCGTTGGTCATTGAAAAAAATCTCTTGGATAAATGAAACTTAAAAAAGTGCAGTTTAAAATTAGTGACATGTATACAGAGTGTCACAGAAAAGTTTGGCACACTTGTATTTCAAGTTAGGTTTTTCGTTTTAACCCGACATAACTCAACAAATCAAAATCTTTAAATAAAATTTTGCTAAAATCTCAAAAATATTGGAAATAAAGATAAGTATTTATTTAGACATTCTAAAAGCAAACGGGTTAAATAAAAAAAACGATCCATTGTATTGTCTCGAAAAACTGGATGGCACATTTAAAGGTCATCATATTTACAAAACTGATTATACTAATGATGTTTTTACCCCCAATTAAAATACATAATTTCAACAATCGGTTTATTCTCTCAAACAACAGAGTTATCTCTTATTTATTCGTTATGTCGGGATTCTGGTGGCTCCCGTGTTCGTTAACCTCGCAGACCGCGTTCCATCGGCTGACCTCGACTGCTCGCGCACTCCGAAAGGGGTTCTGGCTGACTCAGTAATAGCGACGTAGTGGATGACATCCCTCTTTAATAATTAGCATCTAACACGGCCATCCTGCTTATGCGGCGTCCCCGCACCAGGAAAAGTTCTGTAAACAATATAAACTGAGAACACTGAATAAAATAGTGAACAGCATTCAGCTCTGTTTTGATTTCTTAGTCCAAACAAACTGATATCACATTGCACTTCAGCAGGGCCTCGATGATCCGAACACCGAAAATTTATACCCTGTTCGGATTCACGAAGCGTTCGGATTATAGTATGTAGACATTTTGAAAGGGATTTTTCGAAATAAAACAAAAATATTTTACATTATAATGTATTTATTTAAGTATGTACGTTAGATGTATGTTAGATAAAATGCTATTAATCACACTTTTTTAAAGAATTCTTAATATAGTGCTTTGACGAGTAGTATTTAGCGACATAGAAAATGCTTTATCCCTTAATTTACGTAACAGCATTTTTTCCGGAATAGAAATGTCGACTTCATCTGCCTATTCCAAACAAAAAACGCACTGCGTGGCACTGGCGAGACAGAAACTGTGAGAAACGGCGGTTGCGCAGGGGTAAGGGGGGTCGTTCGGATTATAGAGGCGTTCGGACTAGCTGGGGTACGGATTATCAAGGCCCTGCTGTATTTTGTTACGAGGTATTTGGGACTACCTCAACATTGACCTTAAAACATTAAGAAATATCAAGAATTTTTAATCATGACATGTTATGTGTAGTCTATAGATGAACAATTTTATCACCTATTATTTTCTTTATGGTAGAGCTGAACGGTGTTTTCTTTTTCTAATTGCTGTATGGTACTGACACACTGGTTTTCTTTCTTTCTCTCTATCTCTCTCTTTTTTTTGATGTGGGATTGCCACATACCCGCCTTTTTTTTTCTTTTCTGCTGCTTTTTCTCTCTCTTTTGATGTGGGATTGCCACACCTTTTGAGTCGTGTGGGATTGCTACACACCCGCTTCTTTTTTTTTTTTTCTCTTTTGATATGGGATCGCCACAACCTTTCGAGACGTGGGATTGCCACAAGCCCGCCTCACTTTTTTTTTTTAATTAGGATAAGAGATACTTGGTAAGGTAAGAGGTAATTCTCTTTTTAACATCCTCTACAGGTTCTCAATGAAAATAATGTCATACATTAATTGTTACTGAGTGCTCCCATCGGGCCCTCTTTATTTTTGTATCTACCTATTGTACTTTTCAAGATCCCTTTTACATCCTAAGGCCGGTGTCCCATGCATCCGAAATCCGACGATACGAAGGTCCGAAAGTGTTCCTATTGGTTAATATACATTCAAATTTTTACTGCTCATTTTCATCCGAAATTTTTAAAATTCATACGACGTCGGAAAAAGTAGAAATAATTTTAACTTTTATCCGAAATCATATGTTTTTTAACCTCACTTTTTAAGTTTTTAACATACTATGATTGTTGTTTGATATATTTACAGTCAAATAAATGTTATATTATAATGTCGAATGTAGAAAATATAATATTACGTATATTTTGTATAATATATACCTATGGTTGTCATTTGAAAATGTTTCGCCTTCATCTTGTAATAAATTCCATGGTTCTATACTTGATTTCTATGAGATTAATTTCGGATGCATGTGAATTATAATATTATCATTCGTACGAATTAAAATATTTTCGGATATCATACATCGGATTTCGGATGCATGGGACACCGGCCTAACTTCAGGCCAATTCAACCATAAGTCCAACTTCACACAAATTCATTTCTTTCTCTTTATCGGTCCTTCTCTCGATAGTTCTCACTGATGTAGCTCGACCTCAAGGAATTGGATTACCACGTATTCCTCCAACAAGGATCAGACTCATTATAAACTGGGCGCTGATTGGAGTCTTTCACTAGTTGACCTCTTTCCATTGCGGCTCCTTCTAATTGCATCTGGAAGTATGGACTCTGCAGCTCATGTTCTCAAGAATCTCCTTAATGGCACTTTGCTCCGAGACTTTCAACTGGGCCTTTTTTTCAGTATTTTGTTTTTCTCTTGGCACTTTTTTTTCAAAACCTTTTACTGTCTTTGTATTTGACTAGAAGGCACTTTGTATTTGGCTAAGTGATCATTTTTATATCGCACGAATAATGCCATACCGGAAAACTTCGTCGACTGTTCATTGCACCTGGCGTTCGTTTAACATATATTTCGAACTACTAAGATTATTGCAGACTCATTTTCTTTGCATAAAATAGTTTTCTTTCTAGATTTATTTTCATAATTCATGTTTAAAAATACAGTATTCCATTAAAAATAATTGAAAAAATGAACATCAGAATTTCAATATTTATAGAAGAATTTTGAACATTTATAAAATATAGTTGTTCTATGACTATTTTAATACGAAATAGACTACCAATAAATACTTGTTAAGTTAAAATAATTTATGGTTATATAGAGGCTTTAACTGACACAAGAAATTTATTGATATAAATAATACTTTTATGTGTCACACTGTTTTGTCACACACAGTATATTATAAGACTGATAACAAGAAGAGGCCAGTAAATGAACACCCTGTACGAGGCGGGTTTTAGGCATCCAAAAAATTTGTATTTGTCTACAGATTTTGTAAACCTTCGGAGGAAAATAAGAGGCAAAAGCAGGTGGCAGGAATCATAGAGAAGTTGATCCTTCTAACGATAGAAGAGGTAGAAATGTACCCATCGATCCAGGCAAAAATTTGGGGTTCTATTGGTCAAGTTCCTGAACTAATCGATATGGTGCTAGATAATTTTATACACAGATCTGTGAACTCTGGCCTGGGTTCGCCAATGGTTGAAATAATGGCCGATACTGCCGTTGCACTAGCTTCAGCAAACGTGCCATTGGTGGCCAAGAAAATCATTGGCCGGTTATGCAGGGTAATTAAAAAAGTACGAGTTTATAGGGGATGTTTAACATTAGCATTAACAAGAATACTCACAGAACGCCTCCAAAATAACGTTCCTTATTTATATAATTCATTTACATTGGCACACATTTCTTTTTATCTCGGTATAAATTTATATAATCATCAGGAAAAAGCGTTCTGCAAATGTTATTGCTCATGTTAAACGATGCTATCTAAACCCGTTGTTGTAAACACATTTCCAAAAAGTGGTAACGTTAGGTTTACCATCTTTTTATGCAAGTGTAGATGTAGCTGGGCCCAGCGTTACCCTAACCGGTTCAGTCACCTAAAGAAGACTCTTTGGTTACAGGTCGTCGATAAAACATGTCAGTCGCCTACACCTCTCTTAGAACAGCACATGATGTGGGACGACATAGCAATCTTAGCGAGATATCTCCTCATGTTGTCATTTAACAATAGTCTAGATGTAGTACGGCATTTGCCTTATTTATTTCATACAGTTACATTCCTAGTGTGTTCCGGTTCACTAAGCATGAGGGCGTCGACTCACGGTTTAGTTATTAATATCATTCACTCTCTCTGCACCTGTACAAAACCATCGTTTTCCGAGGAAACCCAGCGCTTATTACGTTTATCCCTCGACGAGTTCTCCCTCCCGAAGTTCTACCTACTTTTCGGTATAAGCAAAGTGAAATCAGCCGCTGTTACGGCCTTCCGATCGAGTTACAGGCACCCCAACGAACGTTGGTTCGGCAATGAACGCAGTTTCTCTGGAGCGTCTAGTCAAGATCGTGAACGGTTATCTTTAACTTCGTTAGAAGTCATCACCGATGCTTTACTAGAAATAATGGAAGCGTGTATGCGCGACATCCCAGATTGCGACTGGCTGACTAGCTGGACGTCCTTAGCGAAAAGTTTCGCATTTTGTTTCAATCCCGCCTTACAACCTAGGGCGCTCATCGTTTTCGGTTGTATCAGTAAGAGCATAACGGATCACGACATGAAGCAGTTGCTTAGGATATTGGTTAAGGCTCTCGAAAGCTTCAACGATATTGTATTGATCGAGGCGCTGGTTATGTGCTTGACTAGGCTGCAGCCCCTGTTGAGGTCTGAATCTCCCATACATAAAGCGTTGTTTTGGGTAGCAACGTCCGTTTTGCAGCTGGATGAAACTTCGCTGTATGCTTCAGGTCTAGCGTTGCTTGAGCAGAATTTGCACACTCTAGATTCTCAAGGCATGTTCGAAGAAAGGGTAAGTCTTTATATAAAATACCATTTTTGTTGCGTCTTTCTCTTAAATAATGTATTGTTTATTTTTTATACAAGTGTAATTTTAAGTGGGGGGTCAGTTTTTTTAAGGGGAATAGTATGTACTTCCCAGAATATTAATCTAAATTATCTTATTTTTTTTTAATCAAACAAATAATTGAGTTTTATGTGCACGCTTATCAGTGTCGCCTGTATGAAAATAAGAGAGTATCGGAGAGCGAAACTGCAGTGGAAAATCGTTTTGTAAAAACAGATTTGTGTTCTAAAATAATTTTTACTGTTTTATAAAATCTAATCTGATCGATTTGAGATTTTTTAAAATCATTTCAAATTTTTTATAAAAAGTACTTGTACTATATTAAAGCACTATATTTAGTTTTTGAATATCAATGTCAATGACCACTAACAAAGACCTAGTTTAGATGAACTATATAATATCAACAACAGGGTGTTAAACGGACAAAAACAGTAATTTCGTGTGATACGTGTTTCTAAATGTTAAAAGTAGCCTACGTAATTTTATGACCCCCATTGAAAACTACATCCTGTATAGTTTTTTATAGAGATGAGCACTTTTCGGAAAAGTGTGTTACAGACATGTCCGTTGAACATGTCTATGAAATGTCCGGACATGTCGGGAAAAGTTCTTTGACCATGAATCTAATAAGGCACCTATGAGTGACGTCATGTTTCCTCTCTTTTCATTTCTGGGGTCAAATGTATAGGGGCTCATTTGAAAAATCACATTTGACCTTGAAATGATCTTCAAGGTCAATGCCAAGGTCACAATTGGATAGCCAGGGAGAAATCCTGAAACTTTTTAATTAACATTTTTTTCTAAAATGCTCTTTCGCCGAGTTATTCTCCCGTTCCTGTGCATTTGTTAGTTTGACCTTGTGGGGGTCAAAAGGGAGGGGTCACTCAAGGTCATATCTGAACGCAAAATTTTCCGCTCTTCATTTCTGGGGTCAAAAGTATAGGGTCCCATTTGAAAAATCACATTTGACCTTGATATAATCTTCAAGGTCAAGGTCATTGTCAAGGTCAACATCGGATAGCCAGGGAGAAATCCTGAAAGTTTTTAATTAACATTTTTCTCTAAAATGCTCTCTCGCCAAGTTATTCTGCTGTTCCGGTACTTTTGCTATACCCTGTATTTTACTTATTACCTACCCTTAGACTTTTTTTCATAAACTGGTTTCTAATTTTCCCCGGACAACCAATACACTTATTTAAATGTTTTTCCATCCTACTGGTATTCTTAAAAATTGTTTTTGAGCAGAAGTTTATAAATGTATTATAATGATTTTTACTCAATTCAGAAAAATATAACCAAACTGTTGATTTTGGCGTCATACGTCATTCATAAACTATTTGTGTATTAAATATTAAATTAAGAATCAACTGACTACTATTTTCTAATCGTTAACTTTGCCAAAAATAATAAAATATGGATGTATTTTTAAAATGTCAGTTTCAGTTAAACAATTACCAATAAAATTACAAGAAAATGGCTAAATATCTTTAATCTAAACATGTACATGTACCAACCTCAAAATTTGTTTGCGGTAATTATGAATGCAACAAATAATTCCGCGCATGCGCATACAACTTTTCAATCTTGAAAAGTGTCCTCAGGACATGTCCACTCTTCACGACATGTCCAGCTGACATGTCCGCGGCACATCTCTACTTTTTTTACTTGTTCATTTATTACTTTAATTTTGTGTATATGTTATATTTTAATTACCATATCTTGATTCCTTCCATCCTATAATGGGGATGTCCTGTCTAAAAATTCGATTTCTTTCACATGATTATTATAGGAATTTAAATGCATAGTTGCTTCTAATTTTTATTTGTTTCATAAAACGTAGAAATAGTTTTAGGGTAAATTTAAAGCCTTGAATTGTTGAACTACAATTTATTAAATAATTTACAGACCAAACTATCAAATATGCAAATTAAAAAAATGAGGGGCATGCCCATGGAATGTCATAAAAATTGTAAAAAGCCTTAAACAACTGTTCTTAATTTTATTATAATTTGTTTGTAGTCATTGGAGTTTGTGATGATGCAAACACGAGAGCCATTGGAATGGCATTTCAAACAACTAGATCATGCTGTTGGTTTGAGTTTTAAGGCAAATTTTCATTTCGCACTAGTAGGCCATTTGCTCAAGGGATATCGCCATCCTACTCCAACGACAGTCTCCAGAACTGTTCGGATTCTGACTATGTTACTTACAATAGTTGCAAAACCGCACAAAAGAGACAAATTCGAAGTAACACCAGACAGTGTCGCATATTTAACAGGTAACTTTGACATATAAAAAAAAAACTACGAAATAATGTCTTATCTCTTTTTTAGCACTAGTAGGTTTTTCCGAAGAAGTAAGAAGTAGGTGTCACATAAAACACTCATTACCACGATACATGGCCGACTCGATATCTCAAGAAAATTTTATAATCGATAATGTAGCCAATCCCAATACCTCTCAGCATGTGTCTACTTCCAGCAGTTCTACCAGTAATGTGAATCGAAGGCAGAAATCGTGGGATTTATTGGATCAATCTGCTCTAGCTCAGGCACGACACAAGCAACCGACCGCCGCACAACACCAGGTGAATCAATTTTGATTGTCGCTAATTGTGTAGCTAGTATTGTTATTTAAATGTAGAATTTGATATTTACATGAGGAAATACTAATTGTTACAGTTATAGTATTTACTTATCACATTTGTTTTAGTAGTAGATTGTTTTCAAGAAATGCACGTGTCATTTCTGTCATAATTATTTTAGTCATTGCTATATGTGAGAGCATTTTCATAAATGTCAGTTTTTCGTGTAGATAATTTATAAACGCTTAATTATCTCTTGTAAAACAAGACAACAGCTGCTGTGTAATTTTCCTTTTACATTCAAAGATAAGTGCAGTGATGGTTTCATTTTAAATTTTGTACGTAAATATTATTTCTTGCAGTTCATTTCTTCTTCTGCAACCATACGTTTCAAATATATTGACCCTTAACTTTGGATGCTTATGAAAAAAACGAGCATCCTAATTTTATGCAGTAATAATTAATTAATTTAATGTTTTGACTGGATAAAGTGGGATATTACACAAAAAGGATAAAGGTTATCGCTCACTAAAGCGCGCCGATGCGACTTTTTTTTTAGTATACTGTATGCAGTGTACTGAAACGGCAATATCTTTGCATCAACCAATAGGGACAGTTCAGTTTACGCTAAAGTCAGTTTAAAATGAAGTCATCTGATGAAGAAGATACTGTTGTTGCTGCTATTTTGTGTGCAAGCTCAGAAAATGACCCGAAAAAGAAAGAGAAATGTTGGGTACATAACGTATGTAAAAACTTAGAGTTGAAGACGAGTTCTATACGCTTTTTTCCGATCTCATCGATTATGATTAAATTTCATCAATATTTCCGGATGCCACAAGAAAAATGTATGAATTTGTTGGATACATTAAAGCCAGAAATAACTAATTTTGATCGCTCCCTATCGGACTGAACGGCAGCGTACCGCAGAGCGGACATATTCCTCAGGTAGGATCCCGAGACCGTCTCGCCGCTGCGAAACACTACTCCACGATATAGTGTGCGCATCTGTATTTAAATATAAAAACTGACCTTTAGAAGCACGTGCAGCGGTACTCACGTCATCTGCGGCGCAGCGGTACCTCCCGCCCAACTCCCACTACTGTACTGCGCAAGTGTAAATCACTAGATCACAGAATATCTGTAATTAGGATATTCTGTGATATGACTAGATATGTCTCCACATGACTAGATGTGCGGGCGGGGGTACTGACGTCATATGTGACGCAAGCGAAACCTCCCACCCTACTTCCCCCCGCTACTCCGCTGGCGTAAATGCGCGTTCAACGACACAAATATTTTTCTCAAATATTGGCATCTCTTATAGTGATTTTTGCATATAATTGCAAAGAGGGCAAAAATAACTGAATTTATAGGTCGTCACACTTCAGAAATAGAGTGAAAAATTATACAAGATCTAAAAATTTACAAATAATTTCTTTGCGTAAATATAACTTCAACAACTTAAAAGGTTTGAAAAATCAAAGTCTTGGTTGTGTAGTATATTTACATGTATTCAAGTTGTAACCTCTTTTTTTTTTGTAAATCGCATTCAAAATGAAGGGCCCAATATATTTGAACTATATAATAGGACTATAAAAGGGTTAATAAAATTGAGAGAAATTTCAGTTAATTGAAATTTTTCATTACTATTTTTTTTTTAATAAAATGAGACTACTAATTTTACGTCAATTTATAATTTCATAAAATATTCTTAAAATGTTAAAAACGAATAAACTAAGTGTAATAAATATCATTAATTATTGTCAAAATTGTTAACAATACCCTGTATGATATTTTAAAGAAGCTGCCACTGCCATGCCAAAAAAGTGTAACTTCATCAAATTCTTGTCTTTGGTTTAATTTTACAGTTTGCGATAAAATGAAGAATATTTTTTTAAATTTCAAATTGACAGAGATACTTTAGCGATATTTTTGAGACATTCCAGAAAGGTCTAGACAGTTTTCTGTGAGTCTGACCGATCTGTTTGAGGAGACTTAGTAATTATGCTAACATAACTAACACAGGTAGAGAGCACAAATTCGACAGCTAATAAGGGCTGGCGAAGTTTAGATTTAGCCCAGGGCCCGTGTGGTCAAGCCAACGGCGCTCTGACCAGGCCTCTCTATCGAACGCAGAGATCTAGTTCGGTGCCTGTTCAACAGAATCCCACACCAAACGCTTTAAATAGCGAAAATCAAAGCCCCGCAGTGGCTGCGACAAAAGTAAGACAGAATCGTTTTTGATCTGCTCTTAGTTTGATCTCTCTAATCTTCATCTCATTTCAGAAAGGCTGAGATGCTTTCAATTTTGTTTTTCATATCCGCTGGCACTGTACTTTTCTCTTAAACGAACAAAGTGTATTTCCTTCTGCACTTATTGACTAAAACATAAGAGATACATATTTTTCCTGTAAAACATGTAGTTCTTCAAATGCATGTTAAATACTACTGTTAATACTAGGGAAACAAAGAAATTATGTATCTAAGAGCAACGCAACCAGTGCGATCTTGGCTCTTAAAATGGTTCTGGACTGTATTTAAATCAAAGTTGTTGCTGAAAAATGCCTAAAATTATTTCTTGCAAAGGCAAATCACTTATGGCAAGAAATTGACAGAATTTGTAAAATTTCATCACTGCTATGTACCTCTACATACAGTGTGGTCCCTAAAAACCAGAACACCTCTCTACTTACCTCTAGAGGTACTCAAGAATGTAGTTGAAACTCCATGGAGTGCTGTGATTTTTTTAAAGTGACTTCTCAAAAAATTAAAAAATTTTCTTATTAAAAATCTGAATAGAACTATTTAAAACTCCAGTGTCTCAAATTTAATCAATTTCAGATGCAGCATACAGACAACTTTGAATTTATTAAATTTTATTTATATGATTTTTTTCGGTTTAAAAATCTAGAAGGCATTGCAAATGCCTGAAGCTGATGAAAATTACAGCAGTTCATGTATTACCAAATGAATTATTATAACTTTGGGTTAGAGGGATGTCCTTGTTCTTAACGGCCCACACAGTATAAATAACTCAAATTCTTGTAAGAGAAACTGTTTTGTTAAAAAATTTAAAGTTTTATTAATTTTGAAATATCAAACGTTGAAGGTAGAAAAATAAAAAATTGAACCTGTTTTACGTTATAAATTTTTGATCCCATAAACTATTCAAGCAATTCGCTACTTTTGCAACATCTATTTACATGTTACAATAAATTGACCAATTTATTGGTCCAACTTAAAACTACCAAATTTAAAAATAAAAGTCAATTGTAATAACATTAAACCACAAACATTACTAGATTTATAACTTATTCCAAACTAATATAGTTGCAATAACAATCACGTATGTGTATCTATCATGTTAGTTGATTTGTTGTCTTGTTGTTTCCAATTTCTTATCTGATTCATTAAAGTTGCGAAATTTTCCACAATTTGTGGTTACACGTACCAATATTGCTTAACCAATTTCTTGATTGATTTATTAAGTCGAAAGTTGGTATGTAAAACAGGTTTTAATGAAATTTAAAACTTGCATGGCATCACATCACTTTTTTTTTCTATTGAGTATTGTACTGATTCTACTTTGATTGTGTACTTAATGTTTCTAATTTCCACTTCTAAGAATATGATGCAGCATTTAACATTGATTAAGATTAAGGTGGATCCACTTAATCTTAATCAATGTTTTATAAAGAAACGGATTGTACAAAAGAAAAACTATTTGCTTTTTAAGAACAAAGCAAACACTTTTTTTTCAACTGCTACGATTTAAACACCTGTCCTGGACTGGTTGCATCATTTTTAAAGCTGATACTGTTGATTTTTAGTTATCAATACACTTTGTTTTGTTCTCCTTAAAATTAATTAAAAAAAAAGTTTGCATAGACCAAGCTTGTTTATTGGCACATGTACCAAGTTACAAAGTACTTGTGCAAGCATCATGCATACTAATTCTTGCTGCTTATCTTGCCTGTTTGCCTACTTTGGGGGCGGCCATCAAATTCAGACTGCACGAGCTCTCTTCAAAACACAACGTTCATTTTCGGTGCCAACTGCAAAAGAACAAAAGCCTCTCGATGATGAGGACGCCAAGGTAACGAGCACATACTTCTTTAACACATAATATAAATACTGCAATGTGACCACACACATTTTATTTGCTCTCAAGTGGACCGAATCCTAGCTTTTAGAGTCCACTTGTTTGGTTACAACATTATAACATTTTTTTAACAAATGCAATATCAACATATAATTTAACTATTAAATAAGTGTTATTATAATATAGAGATGGGCACTTTTCGGAAAAGTGTGTTACGGACATGTCGATGTATTGTCCGGAAATGCCGGGAAAAGTACTTTTGACCTTGAATTTAATAAGGCACCTATGAGTGGCGTCATGTTTTCACAGGTCACTGCTTGAGGGTACACAAAGCAAAATATTACTTTTATTCTAATGAATATGTGTCGATATATTTTACTTATTACTACGTTTAGACTTTTTTATAAACTGGTGTCTAATTTTCCCCGGACAGCCAATACACTTATTTAAATGTTTTTCCATCCTACTGGAATTCTTAAAAATTGTTTTTGAGCAGAAGTTACATTTATAATGATTTTTACTCAATTCAGAAAGATATAACCAAACTGTTGATTTTGGCGTTATACATCATTTATAAACTATTTGTGTATTAAATATTCAATTAAGAATCAACTTATTCTTAATTGAATAATAAAATATGGGCATATAAAAGAGGTTATATTTTTAAAATGTCAGTTTCAGTTAAACAATTACCAACAAAATTACAAGAAAATGGCTAAATATATTTAATTTTACATGTACCAATCTCAAAAATTTTTTATGGGAATGAAATGAATGCAACAAATAATTCTGCGCATGCCCATACAACTTTTCAATCTTGAAAAATGTCCTCGGGACATGTCGACTTTTCACGACATGTCCGATGGACATGTCCAGCTGACATGTCCGCGGCACATCTCTATTATAATATTACCTTATTTTGTCATGCAAAAATTAAATATTTGTTATTGAGGATTTCTACAATAAACAATAAAGGGCGTGAAGTTTTTTTAATAGCTTCTATTACTATTTTCTCTGTTCAAGCTCAACTTTCTAGTTTCAATGAAACCTAGAGAAATATGTGAGAAACCATTGAGTCGATTTCAAATAAATTTACCGCAGTTTTAATATCTGAATATTATACATCCTTCCCTTAGTGCACTGCATGCTTAGATTTTTCAAACTCTACAGCTTTAAGCATTTCTATGACATAAACCTAGTTTGGGCGCCCAAGATCAGCTTTGGGGCATCTTCTAAAATTAAAAAAAACATAAAAATATGTCTTTTAGAACCGCAGCACGAGGGTTTCCGTCAGCAACGAAAATAATGTCTTACTCGACCCGGAAGTGTTAACAGACTTTTCCACTCAGGCTTTAGTACTAACCACACTGGCTACCTTAGTGAAATATAGCACAGACGAAGCAGAAACTAGAACCCTCTACCAATATCTGGCAGAAGGTGCAGTGGTATTTCCAAGAGTTTTCCCGGTGATGTAAGTATTATTAACTGCAATTAAAAAGATTGTCTTATGTAATTGGAACTTTTTCTTCTAGTTATAATTTGCTAGACATGAAAATCAATAATGTGTTAACTTCTTGTCACGATCAAGAGATCCTGAGTGCTGTGCGCAATATCATACAAAATATGATAGCATGTGAGGATACTAGTCAGCAACAGTTGCATTACTTGCAAAGTTGCGGTTTCGGAGGTCTTTGGAGATTCGCAGGACCATTCAATAAGGTAATGACAATATAGAATATAATTACTGGAACTCTGAAATTGAGCGTTACAGCTGCTGTATCGGGTATTTTTATATGATAAAATTTTTGTATTCAGTGTGCGTAATATTCAGTTGTACATGCTCAGTAATGAAGAATTTCAATAATTTTGGCAGAAATATTCGAGCTCTAACAATTATTTTACTCAAATTTTTTAACAAATATCTATAAATGCGATGTCGTAAAATAGATGTGTTTTAAGTTGTGTATGGCACTTTCAGTACAACAATATGGCAGAAAGCAGCGAGTTGTTTGTGAATTGTCTGGAAGCGATGGTAGAGACTTGTCTTCCTATCGAAGAAACTGAAGGGGAAAATGGAGAGCTGACGCCGTATCCGTCAATGTTAAGCGTAAGTTCAAACATGAATCTTTCATCTAGTCTCTCGAGTCTGACCCTGGGCTCGCCAACAGAAAAAGAAATAACAAGAGACATAGAAGGTGGTAGCACAACATCTCTTGGCAGAACTACATTTTGTAAGCAACGTAGCATCAAAAACAAAACACACATCCATTCAGAAAATTCATCAATTCATAAATAAGGACAGAATGGTTAGAAGAAATGTTGTTATTTTTGTTTGTAGCCGGGGAAGAATCTGTTAAAAAATTGATAAAAATGTGTTTTATAAAATTTTTAAACAGCCAATGATTCTGTGTATGGTTTATAATTGCTCGTTTATTCACTTGAGAGAGATAACAGCGGTATGCTTCAAGTAAAAATGACACACACGTTTCTTCTAATTATTTGAGAAATATTCTAAACTGAAGGATATGTGAAACCAAATGTACAAAATATTATGTTGTCATAATTAATTTCGTTAATTTTCACACCAAAATTATTTTATTAGGTATAAGTGTACATCTCAGTATTTTTAACAATATTCTATTCTCAGTAGAGTGGTCCAAACAAAAGAAAAACTATTAAAGACTATAACAGTTAAACCGTATAAAATCTCACAATGGTATAATACAAAATTTCATTATCAAGTTAAATCAATGAAATACAGTGTTAGTAGTACTACCATTAAAGTAATATTAACACTTATTTAGCACCAAACAATAATTCTCTTATTTTTTACAATCTGGAGCTTCAAGTTTGTTAAAAACCGTACAGTTTCTGCCCAAAATGAAATATTAACGAGTTTGGCATGTGTTTTATATTGTTTTTATTGTTTCATTTAGTTCCTACCTCTTGCATTTCTTTGGTTAAAAGGGGATAGAAATCATAGTGATCGACCTATCATGTTTTTTAATAACACATTTCACATATCCCATTTTTTCCATATATTATTGTATTAATGTACAAATTAGTAGTTGCTAGTTCTTGTTGTGCTGACGATTTGCTAAGTAATCCCGAATCATGTTCAAATTTACAACAATACAACGCTTTTAAATTAAGGAAATTGTAGTTTCTAGAGACAATTTGACTGATGAAATACCAACATAGGGAAACGTGAAAAATGTTTACAGAATGCCTTATGTCAATGTTTTAAGTTCTAACTTTTCAGTTCCATTTTTATACCTCAAATTTGATTCAAAGCAAGCCAAGCATATAACTAAATTAATGCCAAAATCTTGCACTTATCCAAGTCGTATTGAAAACATCTGTAAATACAGGGTGTAACGTAAAGGTTGGGAATAAGTTAAACGGTGGATTTTTTATTTTAAAAAATAAATATTTATTATATAAAGTTATGCTCTACGGGTTTTCTTTTCCAAGCTACGGGGCGCTAAAATATTTCAAAAAATTTTGTTTTTTAATACCAACTTTCATGCAAAAGTCTTTTTTCATTGCCTACTTGACCATGTTCAGTGGCTGAATCAATGCAAACTTCATAATGTTTTTTTATTTTTATTTTCCTATGTTAGCAGTGGGAAAAAATGGTATTTACAAAAGTTTTATTTACGGAAAAATTACAAGAGCTAGAAATAAAACGCAAGAGGGTAATTTTGTTTGAAATAAAAAATGGATCATAAAAAAATTTGAAAAAAATGTTTTTACCAGTGGCGTACCACAATTTTCTTCGAAAAACCTTACGGAACAATCCGCACACACGCCACTGAGTAACTTACAAAATCAATCTTTTCCCTGTTACTAGGGGATTATCAAATTAAGCTAAAGCTAAAATTTCATTCCATTATCTTATAAGGTTCGAAAGTCATTGGAGAAAAACTAAATTTTTTTAAACCTTTTAGCGCCCTATAGCTTGGAAAAGAAGACCTGTAGCACATAATTTCATATGAGAAAATTTTATTTTTTAAACCAAAAAATCCACCCTTTAATTTATTCCCAACCTTTATGTTACACCCAGTATAATGTACAGACAAATTTAAAATTTGCAAATTAATATTCAATTGACAAAAATATTATATGATCAGTTTTCAAAGTTATGTGCTGTGGTGCAGCTTCAGTGTATCTGATTATCAAATATTTACGGGGCAGATATAGCTTTTTTGCATTATTGGCTCAAGAAAATATAAATTAAATTCTTACTTAGAATTATTCCTCTTTAAAAACAACCATCATCCTGTATATACCTGATCTATTAGAAAGGAATGCTTTAATGTGGTTTTTGAAGGCAAGGTAGCTGTGTATAATTTCAAGGTAAAAGGGAACAATCTTCCTCAACTTTTTTATATCAGAAGAAAGTCTTCTGATTTTATATTCCGCCCAATAGTTTTATAAACTAGATATCCTTAATTTTATACATGGAAGCCTTGAAATGAATTTTCAGAAGTATCGGATAGTCACAATTTATATATATGTATAAATATTTTTTTTTCTGCTTTATTGTAGGTGATGTTACACACACGTCTTAGTGTCTTGTAAAAAATCCTGTTGAATTCTTGTTTCAAAAATTTGAGGTTATGTTTCCTTCCACACCCCCTGCAAAATCGTTTTCTGAGTTATATGCTGCACTACTAGTATAGTCACTTTTCTTCTTCTGCCCTATATGTATTTGTGTATTTTTAAGGACCAGAGTTTCACTAAATTTACTCCAGTACACAGATAGAGTTGGTGAATCGAGGTGAATGACATTAGCAGGAATAATACAAATACGCTTAAAACAAACAACAAAATATCAATGTTCTAGCTTTAGTGTTATGTACGGTCATGTAGGGTCAGTGCTTTTATTAGTGGGGTTATAAAATTAAAATTCAGCTGGGGTGTTGATGGTAAAGCAGGAATCTGCAAAATAAATATATTTTCTGAACATTCCGTAAGAGTCCCGTTTCATGCCAAAGATATTTAGTTGTTTTACTTATAGTTCTCAGAAATAACCCATGAAAAATAGTTTTATTGATATTTTTAACTAATCATTACAAATATATTATCAAGAGTTACAATTAAAAGATGCAATTGGAAGAATTACAAAAATATTTATTGTCTGGCATGTATTTATAAAAATTGGTATAATGTTTAAGCTTTCAGAAGAGAATAAAAATTAAGAAACAAACGAATGAACGTTATAAACAATATTATTAGAAGTTTGTAGAATGACAATTTATAAGAAGGTTTGAGTTGTGATTAAAGCTGTAATTCTTTTGGTAGAGGTATTTTATGAATATCTATGCATATTTAAAAAAATAGAGTAATTTTTAAGGATTGTTCGAACATACAATGTTAAGTGAAGGCAGAGTTGTTTAATTTTCCCACTAATTTGCCTTGCCTTATCTGTATCCGAGGTTCATAGTTCTAAGTGTCTAACGCTTTGACTGAGAGCTTTATATAAATGTTTTCTTTATTCTGAGTGTTGCATATTGATACACTTCTGTGTGATATATGTTGTGACCAAACAGTCAAAGTGTTAAAATTTTACCAATTCTTATTCTAAAATAGATTAATGTGTAAAGCTCATAACATTTTTGAATAAAAAGCTTAATTCCAAATTAGCACAGGTAAGTTTTTTCATGGTTTGGATGTTAGTTTGGAATCGAGCTATTTAATGATTTCTTGGCAGAAATGTTAGTAAATAAGGCAAATTAAACTTGTAGTTCATCTATGACAACGCATTAAGATTTAAGACTTTTAACTTTTATACTAGGGGTTGAAACTTTGCTCTCTACCACTGTTTATGCATTTTCATTATTTTCCATGCATGCAACCATATAAATTATATTTTTCAATTCCTAGTATTTTTTTTTTATATAATTTCATGTAGTTTCACACACAGTATAAAGTTACAAGAATATTATCTTGTTTTACTTTAACATAAAATCTCATAAAGCTTCATATTTTCGCTAATTTTGTATTTATTAAATGAATTTGGTAAAATCCATACAAAAATTTACATTTTTAACTGTATACAGAATGATTCATTAACTTAAATACTATTGCTAATTACTCTCAGAAGTTTTTTTTGTATTATTTATTACTTTTTTACTGAATATGATAGACACAGGACGGTGTGCAATTTAGTCAAAAATTAGCATTTGCGGGTTTTATACAAAATTTGTTTAAAAAGTAAGGAATTAGCGGAATCATCACCATACTTCATAATTGGTAGTTGTAGTATGTTCTTGTGTACAGTGGTAAAAAACGTAATCTTGCATCTTTATATTTTAGATTAGATTATGACTTTTATTTTTTACCATTGTATACAATCAGTTTAATGCTCTCTCATGGCAGAAATTTAAATTACGCTTTTTAAAGTAAGATAGACTGTGATATATATAAATATATATATAGTTGTAATTCGATAAAATTCTAAGTTCAAGCTATTTACCAAAAAGTGCTTCTAAAATGTTCGTTTTTTTCAACAGTTTTTGGATTTGTAAGGACTTCCGATTATAAAATACACCAATTAGTCTCCCTTACGTAGAATAGATCCATCATCTGGTACACAATATCTCATTGTAAAAAAAAAATTTTGCCTACAAACATATTTCGCTAACATTACCCGCTTAAAAAAATTGTACATAAGCAGTTGCCTTTGAGCTAGAATCAATTAGCTGTAGCAACCATCTGGCTGAAATTTACGGGTACAATTTTTATTTACCGATAATTCTGTATATACAATTTATTGTCTGTAAATAAGTGCTGTATTAGTTAACTTCGAATCGCAATATGCGAAATACAATGAAATATTTTGTATTGTTACAAAACGCTTAGATTGGGAGGCCAATTTGTTCCTTCATTATTAAATATTAAGTGCAAATATTTTTTGCCTGCAGCAATAACAGGTTTTTCCACCTGCTCTGATACAAGTCTATTTATTGTTAATTATATTGTACGTTGCTTGTACAATTTTACTTGTATCACGAGTATTTCCAAAAACATAAAAAAAAAGAAAATTTAGATATAGTATTTGATGTCCTTAGGGCAGTCTTAGCAAATCGTTGCTACAATAAAAAATCTATCTTTGTTACAGTAATGTTTTTAAAATCTCTTGTCGTTTTTAACAAAATCTATTTGTTTCTTGCTCACGGCAGACATATGTGCCATGATAAAGGTCGTATTAATAAATAAGGACCTTATAAAGACCCCTAATTTTGAGAATTTCTCTTCTAGGTCCATGAGGGCTCAATGGACTTTTTTGACAAATTTGACAAAAATAAAAAACTCCAATGACTAGAGGGGTATTTCTATGGCCCTATTACCAAATTAAGTAAAACAGTAGCCTCCGAATCGAATTAATGTGACTTTTATCACTTGTGTAAATCTATAGGGGCATGGTGGCGAAGAGTATTTTCAAAGTCAACTACAGCTCTATAATGAATGGTCTCATTTTTCCAAAGCTAGAAATGTATATAAGATATCTAAAGTAGACAGTTCGGTGCAATATTTTTGTATTGTAAGCATGCATCCAGGGTTTTGTACAGAAAGTTTTATCGTGTGCTAGGGAAATTAGTGTTGCAAAATAAAAGTATTGTACATATTGATTGCGCCCGTATGTCTGCCCGTGGCATTCTTTGTTAAATGTTTTTCCAATTTATTAATAATTAGTTATACTTATTATTGTATTTTAAGCTCACTTTTATTATTTATCTATATGTAAATTCTATTTGTGATAGATTATTCATGTATAAATGACAAAATGTATGTTTCTTAAGAATATGACATGTTTGTATCTATGATATTACAAATATATACAATTCAAAAACCACAATTGTGACTTAATATTTTTCTAGCATGCTGTGGCAACACCAAAATCTTTTTAAAATGAAACACTGAGAATCCATTCTACATACAAAAGTCACAATCAGTGATTCTCATCACAATGACAAATTTAATAGTAAGGATATTCATTCTGACTTAATAAATGTACACTCTTAAATATATAATAATAAATCGGCTTTATTTAACAGATAATTACGATAATACAAACACAAATATAACTAAATATTTTAACCTAATTTATGACAAAGTCTAGCCAAGGCTACTCTACTCAACCATAAGGTAAGCAATATTATAATAGAGAAAGTATTGAAATTCAAAGTAGAATGACATTGCAAAACAAACACACACACATCTTGACATAAAAGGTATCTATATATATTATTGTTTATAAAATAATAAAGAAATGAATAGCACAACAAACTTAAGTACCAAATCAAGAATCGCATCATTAACAATTTACATAGTATGCTATGCTGCCTGCTCAATAAATATTGTTTAACTTTATTTTTACATTTGTTGATGTTGAAATCGCCAGGAAGAGAGTTATGAAATGTAATAGCATTGTATGTAAAACATCTGAAAAAAGCAGTTCTGTGATGGGGCATCGTGAACTTGTTTTTAAATCTAATATCTCTGGAATGAACATTACCACGCTGTATAAAATTAGTTTTTAAAGATGATGGGAAGGAATAGTAAGAATCTTATGGAAAAAATTAAAAGATGGTGACGTCTACGATTTTCCATGTTGAGCCACTTGATCTCCCCGATAACATGAGATTTATGGCCATATTTACTTAGACTACTAATAAGACGACATGAATTTTATATTTTTTTAATCCTGTATTTCTCCTGTTGTGCAACACAAGGACCAATATACGTAGTCACAATAACTGAAATGGGAAAGAACAAGTGACTCGCATAACATGATTTTAAGTTTTTTATTAAGAATGTGACGACTACAATAAATCAACCCAAGAGATGAATAAGCTTTTTGCAGTAGTAATTTAACATGTTCATCAAAACGCAACTTACAGTCAAGAATTACTCCTAAATTTTTTGGATGGGTAGTAATGGGAACTGGAATACCGTCGATCATAACCTCAGAATTACGTCTTAAAATTCGCAATTTTTTTCACTACAAAAAAACAAAACTTTCGACTTATTCCAGTTCAATTTTAAATTATGCTCATCCGATAATAATTTTATAGTTTGTAGCTCAGAGTTGATAACATCATTTGCCCGTCGAAAATTATTAATATTAAAATGAAAATAACGTTGAGCATCATCGGCATATGCTTGAAGTTTGCATTGATGAACTGATTCTAATATGTTGGCAGTATAAATTATGAAAAGCAGGAGACCCAGAATCGAACCCTGAGGAACACCAGAGAGAATTTCTAAACTGGTATCTTCCATGTAAATAAGATTTAATTAGTCTAACTGAATCGTTGTCAAATGCATAATATTTGAGTTTAGAACACAAAAGCTTATGATTTATGGTATCAAAGGCCTTAGAGAAATCCAATAAAGCTACAACGCTAACCAATCCCATATCATGAGCCTTTATTAAGTCATCAGTGATTGACAAGGGCAGTCGAAGTACCACTACCCCTTCAAAAACCACATTGCGACTGAGGCAAAAGTCTGTTACTCATAAAATAATTATACACTTGATTATAAAACATTTTTTCAAACATTTTTTAAAGACTCGGTAACATACTGGTTATTCCAAGATCGGAAAGAGAGATAAGGTTATTCCTTTTAGGTAAAAGTAAACCAATCGCCTGTTTCCACTTATAAGAAAAGTATTGTCTCTCAATACAGCAGTTAATAATATGAGTAACATAGGGATCAATGAAAGGGCTGCAGTACTTCAACATGGTGGGAGAAATATTATCAATACCAAATGCACAAGTTTTAATACTATTGAGAATTGAGTGAACCTCATCAACAGTAGTAAAGGAAAATTTAAAAGAAATATCATGATCAATCCTATTATTATTATAAAATTATATTTGATCATCACAGCCCAATAGTTGTTAATTATATTAGGGTCAGCCAACACAGAGGGCAACATATAATTTTTACTTGACCGAATATTAACGGTATCAAGAGCTTTCCAGGTTTGTTTGTAATTTTTTTGAGAAGCAATGAACTCCAAGTAACCCTTCTTTTCCCGTCGAACCATAGCAACACAGTAATTACGTAAATCCTTACATTGCAACCAATCGATTTCCATACGAGTACGTTTAAATTTTTGAAGAGCTTTATCCCTTTGCTTCATGATTAGTTTTAAATTGGGGACTAACCAAGAAGTCCTAGGTTTCGTAACTCTTACTCATTTCAAAGGAGCATGCTCATCAAAAACAGTAGTTAAAAATTGATTAAAAAGTAATATCTTTCCATCTGTATTATTTTCCTGAATCAAGTCAAACCAAGAGAGGTTCTGCAAATCATTCAAACTAAAATGATTATAATAACGATATAATAATAATAATAATAATAATAATAATAATAATAATAATAATAATCTTTATTCATATATAGCATAAAAAACAGACACATGTACTAAAATACAAATATATGAAAGGGCGAAGTTCAGCTGTGTCGTCCAGTGGACAACACACTGTTCTTCCACTTAACCCATGCTAGATGCGCCACGGCATTTAAGTCGCACTTTAAACACTTAAAATATTAAATACATACATACACATATATAGTAAAAAGAAAAGTAATACGATATCACACAGAAGAGATATGCAAGCGAAACAATTATATGATTGTAATTAGGTACTAGTTATTGGGAATTAAAAAGAAAGGCTTTATATTTTTTTTTGAAACAACTGACAGACAGCGATTTGAGAGGCAACGGTAGGGCGTTGTAAATTTTTGGCATATTGTAACTAAACGATCTTTCAAATGTTGCAGTTTTATGTAAAGGAGGGGTTAAATTACCTTTAAATCTGGTGTTTAAATTATGAACGTCAGTTCGGAATCTGATTTTATTGTACAAATATTGGGGGGATTTATTTAAAATGATAGTCATAAAAAGAGTAGCACTGTGATGTAGACGAGTGTTTTTCATATCCAACCATTTTGTATTCATTAGCTTGTGTCTTACTCGATTTCTCTTTCTAATACCATATATAAATCTAAGGCAGTAATTTTGAATTTTCTGAATTCGTTGAGATGTCGCCTGAGCTAAACATGGACCATAAACAGTATCACCGTAATTAAACACAGATAAAACCAAAGACTGGCAAAGTAAAATTTTTAGTTTTTCACTTAAGATATGTCTGGATTTGTATAATATTTTTAAATTAATAATGGATTTTTTTACACAGTTTGATATATGTTTATTGAATCTAAGATCGCTATCAATAGTAAGACCCAAAACTTTAACTTCATTTTTAACTTCTAACTGAACATTATCAACAGTTATATTAACCTCGGGTAATAGTTGAGCATATTTGACCCGACTAGCAAAAAGCATAGTAACACATTTTGTGGGGTTTAAACGCAAAGAGTGCTCTAGTGAAATTCGACGAAGTGTTTCGAGTTCACTATTAATTATAATACAGCTGTTTTGAATATCATTAGGATGAAACGAATAGAATAGTTGAGTATCATCTGCATACATTTGAATTTTACAGTGCTTTAGAAAATTAGGGAACGAGGATGTATACAATGAGAACAACGTAGGTCCCAATACGGATCCTTGAGGCACTCCACAATTAGTATTAATATAATTCGAAATATCGTTTTTAAGTACTACCCTTTGTTGTCTACCTATTAAATAGTTAGAAATAAATTGTACTGCAGATATATCAAAACCAGCAAACATTAAAATATTTTCCAAAATATCATGACTAATTGTGTCAAATGCTTTCGAATAGTCGAGTAAAACTAAAATTGAACATAATCCAGAATCTGTAGCCCTAAAAATATGGTCTGTGACATTTAATAAAGCAGTAGAACAACTATGTCCCTCTCGAAAACCAGACTGTTCAATAGGCAGTATGTTATTAATAGTTAAATGATTCATAATTTGATCTTTTACAATGTACTCTAAAATTTTAGATAAAGCAGGAAGAATAGAAATAGGTCTTAAATCTTTTAGTTCTCTAGGTGTGTTTTTTTTTGGAAGAGGAATAACATTTGACATTTTCCAAGCATGGGGATAAACTGAAAATTCCAAGCAATAATTTATTATGTGACAAATGTATTTTAAAAGAAAAGGGCAGCACAAAATAATGAAATCTATATGTATTCCGTCACAACCAATTGCTTTAGATTTAATCTTAAGTAAATACTTAAATACTTCACATTCAGTAGTAACTCTGAATTTAAGTTTTGAGGATATGTCTGATTTAACAGAGTCATAATAGTGAAGATTATTTGTATTATTGTTAGCTGCAGCCGAACTTACGAAATAATTATTTATTAAATTCGCATTAGACAATTCAGGTGGTATTTCTATATTAGGTTTTTTATTACAAATATTTAAATAATTAATTTTTTTCCAAGTCTTAGTTGCACTTGATTCCGAAAAACATAAAAAAGCTTTTTTTTCACGTCTGATAGTAGAAGTAGTAAAATTTTTTAAATATTTGAAATTTAGCCAGTCATGTGAAGTTCTAGTTTTTTTAAATTTATTTAATGCCTTATCTTTAAATTTTATCAACTCTTTAATATCATCTGTAATCCAAGGTTTATAGCTTTTGTTGAAAATTCGAGTTTTTAGAGGTGCATGCAAGTCCATTAAAACAGTAATATTTTCGTTAAAAAACCTCACTTTATCATCGATATTATTTAAATCGAAAATATTATTCCAGGGTATAGATTGTACATGATCGTAAAGCTGGCCTGCATCGACATTTTTTATATCCCGGTAAGTAATAGGATTCATACAAACATTAGAAATCCCCACCCCACTGATAGTCACAAAAATTAACTCATGATCAGCAATATCAGCTACTGTAATATTCCCGTGGTCACTATAACATAACTCATCTGAAAGCAATATAAAATCAATTAATGATTCACTGATTGCCGTAATTCTTGTAGGTAGGCATATGGTATTCTTGTAGGTATATGATATGAGTTTAGGAGTAGACCTATTTAAAATAAATTTCAGATTGCAAAAAACCACCCTGTGATCTGAAATACCATCAGTAGAAATGGTACCGAAAGATATCATTTAAAAAATTAAAATTAGTTTCAGGTTTTAGGTACCTATATGTCTTTATTTGTGGAAATGAGATGATAATTAAGTAAACAAAAGTTGCAATACTTTTCCAACCTTTAATATAAAACTCTAATAGAAGAAATCGAACAAATTAATATTTAAATAAATAACAAGAAAACGATAATAGTAGTAGTAAATAAATAACATCAGTCTTACAAATACATGACAATCTTTGGAGACTCTTAGTAAAGATTAACCTTCAGGTAGGAGTTTAGTCGTCAGACGTTAACCATTCGCTTTGAAGAGCTGTAGCAGCCGTAAAACGTAACGCAGGATCCGGTTCAATTAAACTTTCCAAAAACCCTGCAAAGGGGATAGCATCCACACGCTTCCACTTGTATTTATCAACTAAGACGTCCTCTATCTTCCATATACGTAAACTATCATAAGCGACGTTCTTTAAAATACCTTAACAAAAATATTTTAATTACATTAGTTCATCTGTAAAAAATTTCACATACCATTAGAGAAATATTGGCGAACGTTTGTACCAGTCTCAGTTATATACCGGGGAATGCCACCGAGAGTTTCCCAAATGAGACACAGATGGTCAAGATTCGCAGAAAAGCCCTTGTCTCCTTTCGGACTAAAGAGCATTTCACCCGTCGCCAATTCAAATGCCATACAACCCACAGACCAAAGATCAGCTGGAAAGCTATAATCTGCACCTAAAATTACTTCCAAAGCCCTATACTGCCTCGTTTGGATTTCATTTGAAAAGTGGTGGTCCTACAAATGATCACTTAATTCTATTTCTAAAATAATAAAAATTCGTTACCACCTCCCAGCAAGCGTTTCCAAGATCAGCAATCTTGATTTCTATATTTGGATTAACCCACATAGGCGAAGTAAGACGAGGCTCGGCATGTCGTTCACGGAAATTAGTTAATTCTATTAAATATTTGTCATAAGGATAAGACTGTCCTCTTTGTTCCTCATACTTTGCTAATAAATCTTCATCCGAGTTTCTCAGATCCTTCTCGTGGTCCACCCAACAGTCCGAAGTAACTAAAATAAGATATTTAAAGGAAACCATAAATGGCTTAACTCATATCTACCATAAGAGCGAGGCATTTCCAAACCCAACTCCTGAAAACGTTCTGTCTTTCCTATGATTGTTCTGAGGTAATTTTGATCTACTTTAATAAGAATGTTTTCAGGTTTAATATCAGTGTGAATGATCTTACACACGTCATGGAGGTAGGTCAAACCTGTTAGCACCTAAAATATTATTACAGATTATTAGGGGAAAGCCACCAACAGAATAATTTATTTCGTTTATACCATTTGTTTGTCCAGTACACAGAACAAAGTATATAACAGAAATACTTAAAAATACAATAGACAGAAATGCATTTACTGAAAATTATACAAAACAAATATTATTCTATGGACATATAGTATAAAATGGTTTCAGTATCACAACATTACCAGGAGTTACAAACTTATCTCGTCACAAAGCACAATGTCTTGAGACTTGAAGAAACCAAGTGCCAAAAATGAAATGAAAGACAGTTTGCCATAACTAAAACTAAAAATCATTTAAAGTGTCCGTCTGTGTCAACATGTTTGAACAGTATAGACTCTAATGCGAACTAATTAAGACATGGGCTTAAAGAGATAAGGTCGAATTATCGATATTTTTGGATTACTGAATAGTAAATATGTTTATGTACATACATATAATAAGAATTAGATTTTATGTGTTACCGAGAAGGCAAAAAACAATAATAAAACCAAACATTATCATAAAATATGCATTTATTAAAAATAAAAAAGACAAAAAAAAAAAACAATTCATTTAGAATATCCACTTTTTGCAAAAGGGTTAATGTGTGATACTTTCTTTTTTGCGACATGTCTGCACGGCAATAATATTTCAACTAAAAAGATCTAATCGAGAAAGGTTCCGACGAGGGTTTCCCCGAGACTGCCGGGAAATTACGTTTTAAGCGGTTACTTGTTATTATGTAGTCTGACTCTATAAATGTTAAACCGAATTTTGTTCGAAATGAAGAGTTTTGTTCTGACCATCGAAATGGGCATTCGTCGGGCCGGATTAGTGGATATTCGGATTAAGTTCAGTTCAGATCAAAGAGTCTATACTGTATTTAGATATTAGAATTTGAAGTTAATACACACTATTCGCCAGAGAAGTAAAATGTTGAAAGAATAAATTAAATTTATAGAAAAAAGCATAAGTTGAATGTTGTACCTGCTGGATAATCCTTTTGACACAATCTATATGAATTCCTCTAAAGTCTGATTGAATTAGGATATGGAGCAAAGAGGGCCCCATAATTTCCATGGAAATGGCAGTGTGAATTCCGTTAACGCTTATTAATCTAAAGGTATCGACCATTTGGACGATATACTTATAACCAGAATGTGTAGGATCTATGGATTTGGTCTCTTGAAGAAGTTTTATCTCGTCCTGTGCGACAGCTGCAAACATGTGTGCGCTCTTACATATTTTCAAAGCTACATATACAGGACCTCTAAAAAATTATATTAAATAAATAGTTAACAAATCAGTTATTATAAAATTTACTCATCTAGAAGGTTTTTGCATAGCCATACTGTTGAGAAATGTCCAAAGCCCAATTTCCTACATACTTTGTACTGGCCCTTAAGTAGGTCGCCGATACTAATGGGCATGTAACCACCAGCATCGTAATCTCTCTCGTCCTCCTGAGATTCTTTATTTTCTAAATATTGAATTTTTCGGATATCAGTTAAGTCTAGAAGACTGACATCTTTAGAAGGGGAGCTAAAAGTAAATAAAGAAAATATTTTAATTAAAATAATGATTTTTATTTTAATAATAGGGTAATTGCCAGTGCAATTAGAGGTAACAAAATGCTCAGTAGAGCTATTGTAGGTATAAGTGATCCTGCATAAGGTTTATAAAAAAATAAATTTATATAATTATTTACTTGTTATTAAGCAGAGGGCAGTGCTGCATATTATGTGGAAAAACTGACTAAAGCAGACCAAAACTTACTACTTTATACAAGTAAGAGATTTAGACCTTCCGAAGTTTCCACTGGGAAATCGGACCTGGGGTACAACTTTCTTTTTTTCTATTTCGGCGAGAATTTCTTTGCGGGTTTGTTCACGCTCTGTATTGCCTGTTGTCATTATTAAGTAAAAAAACAATATTGGTACTAACATATGTATAATGACAGATAGTTCGAACACGTTGAAATATGAAAACGGGTTGAATTCATATTCAGATTCAGAAACAAATGATTGATTTGGGTAACAAATTTGTGTGGAAATTTTCAAATCGTAGTCGGCCATTATTGCTTCAAAAAGCGCGGGAAAGACGGTTTGCGCCCGCGCAGTTAATCGCAACCTACCTCAAAAAACTCGCCCGGCAAAAATATACGAAAAACTTATTTTTAGGAGTAATCTTTGGCAAACACTGTTTTATAATAAAGCGAAATTTTAGTGAAAGGAACTCATACTCCAGTAAAAATTGTTTAATCACCGTTCTAACAGTTTGCTTGTTGACTTTTTGCACCAATGGTAAAACAATGTAAGACGCCCCCACAAGAAAGTGTATTTAATTTAAAATTTTACTATTTTTGCACTACTAAAACTAAATTCGGTTTGCCTTCTGTTGCACAACTCATTCAGTAGTATACAACCGGGATAAAAATAACCTACCTTGGTCAGTATTGGAATGCAAAAATAAATTTAATTACATAATTTCCTTAATATTATTTATTATACACTGATAACTTTAGGAAGGCCTAAATAAACACCAGTAACTCCACTTGTCATATGAAATTAAATGGGTATACAGTTATGCTGATTTGACAATTGAGATTAACTAAAATCTAAGTACTTAATGGTTAGGTAAAAAATCATTTAGAAAAAGACTTACAGGGAAGGGAATTCTCTAACAGATAAGACGTCATTCCTCGAGCCAGGAGGGGAGAGTGACAGGGAAAGAAAATCGGTGCGGTCTTTAAAACTGCTACGATATTTGCGATATTTAGGGTAATCTTCAACCTCAACATTACACGACGCCAAGTTCTCGGACGGAGACTTAAACCTTCTGTAAAATTCATCAGTGTCGTCACTTCTGTCGGGGTAATACTTCGAAGTGTGGAAGGTTTCAAGCGAAGCCCTGTACCTTTCATTTTCGAAGTAACTTTTCTGAGTAGGGAATTTTTTACAATAACTATCGAATGATACAGATTGCTTCTCCTGGAAAGAGGTTTTAGGCTTAAAGGTATGAATCGTGTCAAAAGAAAAGTAAATTTCGGATAGGGTGGTTTTACCACCCTTGTCTCCACTGCTTGCTCTTTCAAGGACACTCCTGGGAGTTTGTTGTGAACTGGAGACCTCCGGAGCCAGAATGGTGACTGATTGGACCACAAGTTTCGGTAAAAGCGTTCGGGTAACACAGCACTATCTTTTTTCGCGTCTTTTGAGACCGAAGATGATTTAAACATAATGGAGTGGGCGAATATTTATGTGATATGTTTCGGTGCGCGACATGGGAAATATAGGTAGACACCCGGACTTTTCTGGGATATTACTGGGCATTGAATGCGCATGTGCGACCTGAAAAATCGTTCGATACGGCCGCCACAGGAAATACTCGTGAAAATATTAATTGATTTCAGAAACCACAAATTTCAATCGTTCGATGTCTAAACCACACCTATTTAATCAAATAAACTCAAAACATATATGGAGTACTCTATATTTATACCTTATACATACTTATATATATATAAATATATATTAGGATTTTTTTTTAATTTCAGGCGTTTCAAATTTCTTATAACCGCCGCGCGACAATATATGTTTATACTTAATAAAAAAACACATTCTCCTGGTACCTACGCCATAAAACGGGTTATCAGGCTGGAATTTTAAATATCTATCTATATAAGCAAACAGTGAACAGGTATTTTATTAAATTAGTTTAATTTTCTGATTTCAAAACCCCAAGTTAGAACCCTGTGACTAGTGTGACTCCTCTTGGGTCGAACGCAGATAAAGTGGAAACATTATGGGGTGTTTCTACTTATATAATTAATGGTATATACAAGTTCCTATGACACCTTTTCGTAATCTTATTAATATAATAGTTACATAGTATCAAGTTTACTTTTTGTATTAATAAAGTACCTATTAAGAAACAATTTTCTTTCAGTTAAGCGATTTTTTAAATTTGGTTGATGGTAGCAAACTATATAGTTATGAAAAAGGAAATCGTCAAAATCTGAAATCCCTTTGATGACGAGAAATTGATCGTAACTTTTTTATTTGCAGGTTTTCAAAACATAAATAGCTTTTAGTATTAAAAATTATCAATAAATCTTACAAAAATATCCCCTTCTTCTAAATCGATGACGATTAGCAGTTTCCGAAAGAAAAAAAAAGGATTTTATGTTTTGGGGCAACCCTTAAAAATAATTTAATATTTTTATTGACCTAAATTTGTATTATAAATGAAGGATTTAAAAATAAAACAAAATTAATTACGTTTCATGCAATAATTATTATAATGTAGGTATCAAAGTCTGTTAATATCAAATTATTAAATTATTTTAACTGATTTTATAACAATTATAAATAAAAATATATAATTTATGGGGATTTGAACTATAAACGTGGTCGGATAATATTAAATGCCTATAGGTACCTACTACTATTTTTACAAGTTAGGTCAGTCCCTAAAATCTTTATTTGTACTTATATAGAATCATACCTGTATATTATTTTAGCATTAAATAAATATACCTTTGTTGGTCTGTAAAGTATTAAATAAAAGAAAATAGGTATTACATATCAATTCATATTTATATATCAAACCTACGATAATAAAAAAATAAACATTGCCTTGATAGCACCTAAAGCAATTTTGAAATTCCGATGCTGATGACTATAAAGGAGTAACGTAAAAAAGCATTGGTAAACACGCATGGATAACTTCAATAAAATTGGTTTCTTTGTATTTATTTTTATTTTCATAAAACTTATCCATATTTTTAAGAAAAATTTTAATTTCATAGCGTACTTCGCATCCAATCACTGGAAGAATTTTTTTATGGAAATCAAGGAAATTAAAAAGAAATTAAGAATGGTTGAACTAGTTCTAGTCTGGTTGCCACGTCGTTTAGATATCTTGACGTTTCGAGAGACATATATCGCTCTCTTCAGAAAAAACTCTAAATTCAATAATATCATAGGTATGATATGAATGATATCAAGGTAGTGTCATAGTAGTCACCGTATTTGTATTCTTTTAGGAACAATTGCTCATTAGTGTTGTGATATATTATAATAACTGCTTTTATTAATCAATAATATAAAAACAAAATTGGAGTAAATATGCTTTACAGAAGTATTTATAATTCATCATAGACTGTCTGTTTAATTCATGTTTTCTGGTGAACGGTGAGTTCACGTTCAGGTTCAGTCAGAGTATTTACATATATACCTACTCTTCGTAAATCGTACGACAGAACACATTTCCAGAACGCAGAGTAGGAACATGGGGCCGTTCGAGTTGACGCTCCGAACGTTCAGGGCACGCTCTGAATGACTTTAGGCGTTTTTTTTTGAAGCTCGGAGTGATTCCCATTTGTGTTCGAAACGGTTCAGAGCGTAACCTCCGGGCGCGCTCGCTTTTCTCGGTGCATTGGGGTTGAGCTTATAGGTCGAGCGACCCAAGATCTGGAGGCGGCAATCCTCTCCCTTGAGACTGACATTAAAAACGCCCTGACTCAGACTACGACGGAGACTATTGTCCCCCGACTGACAAACCCCCGGGGCACCCTCCCCGATGACATAAAAAACTTAATACGTGACAGACGACGTGCGAAACGGCTTGCCACCCGCACCCGCCTCCCCCGACACAGACATGACTTAAACGTACTTAACAGACGGGTGAAGGCGGCTCTGGATGAACTGGCCCAGGATAACTGGGCTAGGCACCTGGAGTCGCTGGATCCACAAGACAACAGCCTCTGGAAAACGCAGAGGGCCCTGCGACAGACCGCTCGCCGTAAAATTCCTCCAATCCACGGTAGTGTGGGGGTGGTTTACACGAACCAGGAAAAGGCCGAGGCTTTCGCCGATAGCCTGGAACTGCAGTGTAGACTGCCTCAGCTGCCCGACGAAGACGAGGAATTCGAGATAGTGGCTGAGCGCGCGGCCCGACGCGTCGACAGAGAGCCAGACAATGACATAATCCCCCCCGCAACACCTGACGAACTAAGACTGACAATACGCAGACTTAAAAACAGAAAAGCCCCCGGACCCGACAATATACATAACACGACACTTAAACGACTACCACACAAGGGCCTCATGGCCCTACTAAACATAACAAACGCGACACTCAGACTAAGACACTTCCCTACCCGCTGGAAAACAGCAAACATAATCCTTATCCCAAAACCCAACAAAGATCACACCATCCCATCCAACTACCGGCCCATTAGCCTGCTCCCGGCTATGAGCAAAGTGGTAGAAAAAATTATCCTAACCCGTCTAAGAACCCACTCCCAAGAACTGCAAGTCATTCCAGACGAGCAGTTCGCCTTCCGACCCAATCACTCCACTGAACTCCAAATCCTTCGCCTTACCGAGCACATCACGGCGGCCTTCAACAGGGGACAGTACACTGGTGCTGTCTTCCTGGACGTCGCAAAGGCCTTCGATACGGTTTGGCATGAAGGCCTACTGATGAAAATGCTCACCAACCAATATCCCATATCCTTTACCAAACTCATAAAATCCTACCTACACCACCGAAAATTCCGCATCCAAATCCAAGATTCCCTTTCCACCACCCGTCCCATGGAGGCCGGTGTCCCCCAGGGCACCGTCCTGTCCC